GAACAAAAGATGATTTCAGGTTCGGTCAACTATAATTTATACATTTTTAAGTCTATCAGGGAGAACTAGTTTTCCATTAGAAACGGTTGTGTGTCATGTAAAAGAAGGAAAGAAAACTAATCACACGGACGGACCCGATTATTATAATTGGCATTAATAAATTTCCGAGATTCTCAGATTTGATATCACCGATGAAAAGTGCATAAGATAATAATAATAATAAAGTTAGATTTGCTTATGACATTAAATAGCAGGAAGACACCGTTTGGTTATATTATGGGAAAATAAATTACAAAATAAATACAATAACCCATTCTTTCCTGGCTATTATTTTCCAGAGGAAAAGAAGGAAAACTATATATATAAAAAATTATATATATATAGGAAAAAGAAATAATAATAAAAATACAAACGTGTTTCTTATTAAGGAAAGCCGGTTTATGATTTAAGAAACAAAAAGAAAGAAAGAAAAGAAAAAAAAGAGTGAAAACTCATCACTATCAAGGATTTTTTTTCGCAGATTTCATCTCGCCACCAATCTGGATAACGATAACGAACTCGTAGATTTCTTTCAATAACACAAGAAAATAGATAAATTACACTTATCAATAGAACAGATGGCAATAATTAAGCTTAATAGTCGCTTACCGGCGCTAAGTTCCAGAATTTGCAAAAGAAAAGGGAGGGAAAAAAATTGCGAAAACGCGTCAATCGAATGCGCTATTATTAAATTTTTGATCATCTCACCTGTTTGTGCAACGTCTTCGCTTTTCTTTCAAATCAAATCCGTTAACGCTGGACTCATCCGACTGGTTTAAATTTTGACAGACTTTCCTAACTTTACCTAATAAAGTTGATTCTTACACAGGGCATGTCGACACTCGGTATTGTTACGCGTGATTACACTTTAATCGAGTCATTAAAGCAAACTGAATCGACTAAATTACCATTATATCAAATGAGATTTTCGACCTTTAAGTATTATTTAAAGTCCGTTCGTGATTAGTATTCTAGAAAATGTCGTTTACCTGAGTTGCCTATATTCCGTCCGTCTACTTGCAAGTTCGACCAGCGAACTGTTCAAACAGGTATTCTCTTCATCCCCCATTACGCCATCTGTTGTGAGAAATCGGAACGACGAAAAGAATCCGCTAACAAAAAGGAAATCAAATAAAATGTCGGAACAATTTTTTCGTAAACTTTTCGCGAATTTTACTTAATATATTTTTGTTTTTCATCCGTCGAGATGATAAATTAGCACACACTTAAATTACATAGACTTAGCTAAGCCACATGGTTTAAAAATCCGATTATATTCAACAAAGAAACTTTTACGAATGGAATTTTCTAAAATTAACTGAAGCCATTGCTTTTATTTAGTTTTAACGGTGAAATAGTTCTAATATAGGGTTTTACGAATTGAATTATTATTAACAAAATTTATCAAGTTCTATAATTTAGTTATTTGATCTAAACCGCCAGTAAATTTTTTTTATCTTAAAAATGATTGCGTTAAGTGCAAAAATATATTTAATAGATAAATGTGTAACTGAATAAAAATAAAACGGGTCAAATAAATAACCAGAAAATACTTGGAACAAACATTTTGCTATATATTTAGAAAGATTTTATGTAAATATTGCACTTTTTTTTTAAAATAAAATATCTACAAAATTAACATTCGATAATCAAGTATTTTATTAATTTTTAAGCATTCTATTTAAGTTTAAATTTGATTATATTAGACTAGTTTCTTATGCACAACTCAAGATATGGGAATTTTCTTTCATCTGTTATTTGAATTCAATAAATTGAAAGCATCTACACCTTATGTAAGATTAGGCTATTTAAAATATTGATTCTGTTCTAATCTCTACTGATAAAATAACCGCTCCGATTTAATTTACAACTTAAACGCGTTAACTTTATTTTAAAATTTAATCTTTAATTTATAGTAGCAGACACGTGGGTTAATGCAAAAACGTACGTTTATATTTCTATTTTAAAACGTCAACTATTTCTTTGTTTCAAGTGTAAACATGGTTAACAGTGACTAATCATCATATTTTAATTGTAAACAATGGAAAAAAACGACTGAAAATAACATTCTTCGTTTATTTATTTATTTTTTTGGTGTGTGTCTTAAAATAATTTTATCTAACCATTAGTTTTAAAGTTAACATTTTATAATTGAAAATTTATTAAATTTTTTTCTCACTCTGGTAAAGTCCTTGGTTGTATTTAAATAAGAAAATTAGGAAAAAAAATTTCACCTAAACACAAAGCTTCACATTAGACATCTCATTATAGAATTTCACGTGTCAATAATTAGTTTATTTCCGAAAAGCACGTACTTAATATTAGAAAATGGTCTTCTATTATTAATTCTGACGCTTGTCGTGTAACAAATTCGTTTAAATTGAAACTTCCAAATTTAATCATTTTAAAAGAAATTTTTTTTTGACGGAGAATATTCTTACTTAGAAATCACGAAAGGAATCAAGCTTTTGTCTTTTCAACAAATAAAAAAAAACCTTTATTTTATCTATTTTTTTAAAAATTAAATAAAATTTATTCATAATAAAATTTACACTATTATTTTTATTTTTTGCAATACATAAAAAGATTTAATATAAAAAAATTTCTTTCATCTAAGATTGTGTCAAATGTAGCTTTTTTTGGCACCTTATATCCATTAGTTTTTCCAATTTGCTGTATTAAAAACAAGATACTGTACAACAGCTTAGCTTTATATAACAAAAAAGAAGAAGAAAAAAAAGGCACTTTTTTATGACAAAATTCTAAAATTCTAGTCCAAAAATTGGGATGAGATTTCTATTAATAAATATTTTATAAATTCCTTCTACTCCATTACATTGAATTCTTTGATTAATGCAGAGTATGTTCTTCGGTTCTTATCGAAATGCCTTCGAAGAAAAAGGTCTAGCTTTTATATTGAGTAATCATTATGCAAGTAGTGCAATGTGTACCTTTCCCATAACATGTAATAAAAAAATAGATTCTATTTAACTGTATTAATAACTATTCCTTATCACAAATCAGCTGAACATGATGTTTAATATATTTACAAATCTGTCAACAGTCTTGTTTATTTTATATACAAACTGATATGTTATTAGTACTGTCGACTGCCGCATTTCAAAACAAGGTTTATAAACGGGCAATCCTCCTATTTGTTCATAGCCAACATATTTACTTTTGATGACAACTCAAGAGTCACTCTCTAATTAACAGATATATTTTCACAAAGATTATTAATAGTGGACTTGGATTAAAAGTGAAACCGGCATTGTCCGAAGAATCGTATATGGAATTGCACTTTTTACCACAGTCTTCGTTTTCACAAATATCACACAGTTTTCCTTCCTGAACTTGATAAAACATTCTAGAACTCTTAGCTGAAATATTAAATATATATATGTGTTAAAAATTTTTTTAAATAAATCAAATAATTTGATATGATAATTAACATTTAATATTGAACTGGTTTTTAAATATATAAATTATAAATTATATTTACAAAGAATTTTTTAACTGGTCACTTTTCTGAAACCAATTTAACAAAAATATTCATTATTATATAGACTAGCAGATACAGATGCATGAAGACATTCTTAATATTTTAATTGTAAATATTAAAAACATCTGACTTAATTGGTGTATAATACTGTAAAAATTAGAAATGAAAAGTATCAAATAATAAGGAGAAAATTCTAAAATTGTAATTAATTAGAAAATGAAAAGTAAGAAATTTCTTAAATACAAGAAAAACAATATTCTGTTAACTGAAATTAGTTATATAATGAAGTATTTTTATAAGATGAAACTAAAGAAAAAAAAAACTAGACATGTGCTAAAATTTTTGAAAAGCAGTCAATTCATTTCAGATTTTGTCAACATAAAAATACATTTTAAAATTCAAATACTTTTCAAGACCAGTCATTCCAATTTTCAGAGAAGTTATTTCTTTTTTTAAAAAATAGGAAAATATCTTACATGTCACAAAACAATTTTTATTTCAAAGCAATATGCAAACATTAAGAAAAAATGACAGCACATTATTCAGAAATTTCTATAGCAAAAATGCCTAAAGCATATTGAAAAAAAAATTCTTAAACATTCTAAGATTTTATATTTTGAACATTGTATATAACATGAATGCATTGAATAATTTAAAAGTTTGATCTTAGTTAATTTATAAAAAATTNATTTCACAGAAAGGCGAGACAAAGAAAAATAAAATTTGATGCTTTTTCTTCAAAATTAACGCATTTCTTTCGTTTTTTTTCAGTTTTAAGTATTTTTTATGTTTAATTACATTAATATCAAAATTGCTCGGGGCTTAAGGAGTTAATTAAATTAACGAACGCACCCAAAAACTTACCTTGTTGATGCTAATGCTGAGATCATCGTATAGGATGAATAATTCTCTGGTAAAATATTTACTTAAGTATTATTACCTATGAAAAAATGAATAATAAATCCGATTTAAATAAGGATTTAACAGCATGTTTTTTTAATTTTTGGAACCTAACACCCCTTTTCGCACTAGTTTTGTTTCGTATAACATGGCAATTTTTTGGAATGTAACTCCCGTGTTATACTGGGGTTATCTGTATTATATCATCAATAGTAGTCTGACACTAAGAAAAATTTGCTTGTTGAGTGCAACTAACATCTGTACAGGAAGGGGAGGTAAGGTATTTACAATTGAAATGTTTATTATTTAGAAAATTTGCTTTGCTCTTTGAAGCCAAAATGTTAAGGTAACAGCTTAACCACATAAGTATACTAAATTATGGAATTTAGATTCAAGATGCACCCTATACCATGAAAAATATTTTCTCCCATAAGTCAATTCCTCTTTCTGGACTAAATTATTTGACTTAAAATAATGAATCTAATGCTAAATGATTGCCAGATTAATAATGCTACTAATTATTGATGTATAGCCCAAGTAATTTGGCCTACAGGTAGGTGTTATGCACCATCTCTTAAATTAGTTTAATGATGATAAAAAAAATACATACTCTGTCAAAATAAACAATGACTTTAGAATCACCATTGACAGAATCTACTTGTTTCACTTTAGGAATTTTATGAATTGCAGGAAAAGAATCAACATCAGCTGCGTAACCAGTTGGAAGAACAATTTCCATAACTGCCATGTTAGTCGCACCCTCTTCTTTGTAACTATTGAGTAATTTAGTTTTAATAATCACATTTTTGATACATTAAACAATAAAAAATAAACTCACTTTGTGCAAACATTCAATTCTAAAAAGTTTTCAGTAGAAGATTTTCCAATAGTTGGTTTTAATGAAAATGGAGATTTTTCTTTCTCTACAGCTAGATTATATGACCAAGATACCTGTAGGAGAAATAATTATAAATTTAGCTTAAAATGATATAATTTATATATTAAATTAAATTAAAAATGTAAATTTGCTTTAATTAAATTAATCTTACTTGAACAATTCCAACTCCAAATCCTGAAGCTTTAAGATTTATCATTTTCGTTGTCGATGGAATCTACACAAAATACAGATTACTTTTATTATTATCTTGAAACAGTTTCAAAAATTACTATGAATAAAAATTAGATTCTAATTCATTATTATTTTGATTAAATTTAACAAATGATGATTTTATCAAGAACTTTAGAGTAAATAATTACAAACTGTAAATTTAGAATTAATTTGAATATTCAGTAACCTTTCAAACAAACATAATATCAGTGTAAATACTGTTAGGAAATGCTATTCTGGACTATTTTTATAAATTTATTATTAATAAAAGTAATAACTTAGTGCTATTTGTCTGTAATAATGAAAACATTTTCTTTAGATTCTGTAACAGGTGTGTTGTTCAACTTGTTTACTGCTAATATTTGTAGTGATTAGAGGATTGACATTTATGAAAACAACAAATAAGCAGTTACAAAAAAGTGCTAAATTTTCACACAATATTTAAATATTTATCTCCAATATTTATATTGGATTAATAATAATTTTTCCAATAAAACTTTCAATTACTATTCTTCAATATTTATTCATATCTTCCATTCTGGTCTGTGTATAATATAAATAAGAATCCTTTATTTTCAAAACCATTGGTTGGCTCAAATTATAGATACTACATTATAAATTTTTACTATTATTATTTGATACAATGTTATTCTTATAATGAAATCATTATCTATATTTTAAGAGGAAAAAAAAATTTATTCTAACAGTCTACTCTAAAAGTATGCAACTTGTTTGTTGTTACTGTATCAAAACTAAAGAGAGTTAATGATATAAAAATAAATGATTATACATGCATAAAGTAATTATTTTTCCACAAACATTTTCATCCATCATCCATCTAGATTTCTTTTATTGTTACTATTCCACCCTGTTTCATTCAAAGTTTTCTTCCAGAATATTTTAAAATTTTATTTTAATTAATTCATAATTATTAAATTTAACAAGAACCAGTAGACTAACTGCTTACATCTTGCCAAATTCCTGAGTAATTATTTAGCCTTAATAACCCAATAAAAAGGTACATAGCTGTTATTTTATTTAATCATATTACTTGCCAAATTCATTTGTCCTGCATTTCAATGTCCCTAATTTATTCCAATCCCTTATTTACATCTTCAAATTTAACCATACATATTTATAGTAAACACACACCAACTGCTTAAATCAATATCTCTAATTTAATATGTCATGTTTAAAGAAAATTTAAAAATCGATTTTCATTTCTTTAATAAGATATTAATAATAATTACATAAAATTTAGAGACATTTAGATATTAAATTTAGTACTTGAAATACTGATTGATAGATTTATATTGTCATGACAACTTGAAGAAAGAATATTTGAAATGATTTGAAAATTATAAATTTTAATTTACTCCTATTACCTAATATTTTCAGTTATTTGACATTTAAGCTCACCACCATTCATATAATGAAGAATTAATATATTGTAAAATAAAGCAAATTTTACAAAAGGTTTCAATTTAGGAATAATATGTATTAGTTTTAAAGAATCTCCAATTATAAATTTGAAAAATTCAATTCATAATTTACCTGAATTCTCTGTAAAACAAGAGCATTTTCTCTGGTTATATTTAGAGTTTTTCTTTGATTAGTACCAAAACTGATTTCAGTATTTATTGAAACTGTTGATGATACAAGACGTGCTGCCATTTTTCCTAAAGCTTGAATGCCCACAACTGTATCCTAAAAATTTAAATAATACATTACAAATTGCAAATTTAAATTACTTAATTTAATTAGTTTATAATGTTAAAAATATTCTTAAATATTCAAAAATTAAATGACAAAAAACAATTGTAATTATTCAGATTATCTAAAATACACTTATTTTTAATAATAATTTCTCAAATGTTATTGTATATTTGAATCTTATTACATAAGTACAGAGCTTCAGAATTATTATTTTAATAATCCTAAATAGAATTTATAATTTATTTTGAATTATTAAAAAAGTTGACATTATTAAAAGTTATTAACATAATGAATATCAGTTATAAATGTATATCTTAAACATTTTTTTAACTGAAGATCTTTTTCAAACAAAATAAATCTCCTTTAATATAAAAATATTATTAAAATTTACTTAATTTTGGCCTATTAAAATAATAATATCATAGAATAATGATTGAAATTTGTTTAATACTTTAAAGATTAAATGACAGAAAAACATTGAGAATATGATAAAACTTGCTTATTTCTTTTCCATCTGAATGCAAATTTTATGATAATTTCAAATAAAAATAATATTGAATAATATGTTTCTTTTGAAGATCCAAATTACATTACATAAACTTCTTAAACTTTATACATTATTAAATAGATTTAAAATTTATGTACAATTTATATATATTCAAATGAAATCAACATTATTACAATATTACATTGTCAGCAGCATTAGAATAGTGGTATTTGTCTTTATATGCTGTTAGATAAGAATGATCAAGTTCTGTCAATCATAATCATACTGCTAAATTTAACATTGTTAAATTATTTACTATTTGAAAAATATGGAAATTTAGAAAAATTGAGACCATAGGAGTAAAATAAAAAGCATTGTTTCAGAAAACCAAAATATTTACTATGAAATATTTTTATCACTTTTGGCCATCATAATGTGTAAATCAAGTGTGGAATAGAGTTAATAAAATAGGTCATTTTTAAAAAAAAAAAAGGCTTAATGACGCTGAAAATGTTCCTTTATAATTATATTTTTGATTTCTTTAAACAAGCAATTTTTTTAGTTTCTGATTTATTGAATATTACCATATACATCATTTATGTAAATAGTGTATGCATAATATACAATCTTACACACACACACACACAATTCACATAGTATATAAGCAGTATCCTTTTATTTAATATCCCACAAATTCATGTCAAGTTTTGAAATAAACTATAAATGGATGGAAGAAAGTAAATATTTAGTTAAATATTAAATCCTTCTTTAATAGATACACAATTTACAAATTTGACTTCAATGATTAATGTTCAATATATCATTAGATTGAATTAAATTTTTTAAATCTGTTTTTGAAAATAAACCTCTATACCAAAAAATTACTGTTTAAGTAATTACTCATTTCTGAACTTCAACTGTACAAAATACACATTCAAAAACCATTTAATGCAGTATTTTTCTTTATTTTAACATTTTCAATCATTTTCAACAATCTTAAAGAAAAAACATTCTAATATTCTTTTTAGAATGTTTTTTCCTGAAGATCATTGAAAATGATTGAAAATGTTAGAATAAAGAAAAATACTGCATTAAATCGTTTTTGAGAGGGTATTTTGATTACTTATATAATATGTTATTTAAATTCAACTATGCAAAACTGTATATACATTAGTAAACACTGCACATATAACCAAGTTAGCAAATATAGAATATTATTGCCTTTACAACTACCAAATACTCAGCCAAATATCAGATGATTTATTGGAAACTGCATGAAACAAAAGACTTAGAGTAATACGAAGGACAGTGTCTTCTAGTCAATAATAAAAATTATACAAGTTATTGTTTTTAAAAAATTATCATTATGTGATGAAAAATAAAAAATTAAATTTTGACACTGAGGTCTCTTGTTTTTTTGACAGTCTCATATATGAGTGTATTTAGTAAATGTATATGTTCAGTGAAGCTGGAAGTATTTATGATGAACAATAAAATCCCTTACTTCCTATGAACACAGAAGCATGACTGTCCTTCAATACAATTTATCACCTTTGAATTATGATTATTAGTAAACATTTGTGCAAGATCATTTATTAAAGTTATTTATCCAAAAAAATAACAATACTTTTAACTATCTGAGTCTTTAAATTTTCATTCTATATTGTGTTCATGTTTTTAATTTCCTTATATTTTTTTTCCTCCTTCCTTAGACAGGTGTCTTACAACTCAAATGAGATGATTTGGCTTAATAGTCCAACTTTGAGAAAGTATTTGGTTCAAACATTGAATATACAAGTTAAGTATTCAGCAAAATGTTGAGTACTTACTTTGTGACCAAAGTAAGTACTCAATACCTAAATATACCTAAATACCCAACACCACTGAATGTTCAGTCCAATACTAATATATGTACAGCAGATATACAATCTTTTTTACTTTAAACAATACAAAACACTTGAAACAGAGAGGTTTCAATTAAGAAAACTTAAAAACAATAATTTCAACTAGCTGACAAAAGTGTCCTTTATGAATGCCTCAGCATAATTGTTTTTAATTCAAACATGCTCAAATGTGTAAATCTCAAAAATATTTCATCTTTCATCTTGTAATAAATATTGACTCCTTCACCTCTCTAGTGTCTTGGATTGCTTAATGAATTCAAATAGAATTAAGTTTTTTTTTTTTTTTCAATTATTCAAATTATTCAATTTTTCAAACTATATTTTATTACTATATAAAATATATTCTGATAGTTTTTAGAGACCTAAAAGGTGATTTACATATCAGAAATGTAATTGGAATGCCAGATATTCAAAAAATTTTGAATATCTGACGTTCCAATATTGTAGAACCTGAGGAAGGCCATTAAATATAGCCAAAAATGTTAGTTTGATTAAAGAAATTGGTAGAAAAAGAGTGGAAGGTTTTATAATACTTATTTACAGAAGTTCTAGCTTTCTGTGCATAGAAATGTCATCTGTTAAAAGACCCAATGACGACTATTTTGGTGAAAGATCTTAAAATAGTTTCAAAAAATAATTTGGTGGTGGCTGAACTTGACATTTTCTTTGATAAAAACTGATTTACTGAAATGTACATAACATCAGAATGAGGGAAAATGTTCTAGGGTAAAGTTTTTTGATGATTTACATTGGAGATTGAGAATTAAAAAAAGAAATTTTGTTCCTTTTTATCAAGAGTCTAAGGCAACAGGTAAATGTGTGTTCATGAGAGATGATTGCTCAACAATTGGTGGAGATAACTTTACATTTGACCTATTGAATAACAAGTTGATGAGGATTGAACCTTTTTTATTACCAGGGAAGTTGGTGGATTGTCAAATGGACGAAAATGAAAAACTTTACCTGTTATCCCTTGCTCAGAAGATTTTTTTTATGTTAAAAGGTTTTATCTTGGAATAGTCAAGGTTTATTATATACTAATTTTGCTGATATGAGTTTTTGTTGATTTTGTCTTTTCACATCATATTATTGGTATAACTGAATCATGGATGACATTTTCGATGAAAACCCTTCTTTCAACGTTAGATTCTCAGTTTTATTTTACTGAATCTTTAGCTCACAAACCTGAGGGACCTGGAAGACCATCTGGTGGTTTGTTCTTAGTAGTTTCTCGGAAACTTGGTAAATTGGAAATTTGTCATCTCTCCAATAATTTTATTACTTACATTTGATAAACTTTTGTTTAATGATCATTCTAGACTTTTAATCATCTTGGTTTATATTTCTATTAATAAACATGATTCATTGATTGAATATCTTGATAGGTTGATAGGTTGATTCTTAATTTTAAAGAAAATGATGACATTTTGATTCTCAGTGATTCTAATGCTAGAATTGCTTCTGAAATAGATACATTATATACAGGTTCTAATTTAAATTTTTATAACCTTAGAGAGTCTAAAGATATGATCTTTAACTATGCAGAAAGAAATTTTTTAAATTTAGTTAAATCTTTTAATTTGATTCTTTTAAATGGTTGTTTTGTTACTGATTTTCCTGTGAATTTTACATTTATTTTCTTTTTGGTTGCATCAGTTATTGATTTGATACCTACAAACTTTGAATTAGTTGATAACATGGTGGACTTTAGGGTTTTGAATAAATTTGATTCCAATCATCTCCCACTTTCTATTACTTTCAGGTTTGATTCTCTTTTTTTTAGTAAGGAATTGCCTACTGAAATTTGTCATTATATGTGGAGACCATGTTTAGACAAGTATTTGTATAATGTTACCAAGCGATATGCAGATTTTAAAAGTATTTCTTTTCAAATTTTTTTTTGGATTCTTTTTCTTTTTATTTGTCCTTTGTTGATGTGATTCTTGAATCCATAGTTCAAAGTGATATGTATGTCAAATATGATTGTTCAAGAAGTTTGCGAAGTCTTGGTTTGATGCTGATTGCTTACAATTGAAGAAAGAGAGAAATTGGGCTCTTTGATCATTTCAACAATCAAAAAATCTAGGCAACAATTTATTATTTATTCTAATTTGGAAAAAAATTTCAAATCCCTCTGTAAGGCCAAAAAGAAATTGTTTTGGAATAAGATTAATTTTCAGGTATCGCATATTAAAAGTTCTGCTGAATTTTGGAAGATTGTTAATAAATTTAGAACTAATATATTTGTGAATAACAACATTTCTATTTGCGATTGGTCGGATTATTTGAAAATCTATTTCTCTGGACCATCTTTGGCTGTACTGTCTGTTTGTACTAAAGACACCATGGACCCATTACTTGACAAAAATTTTTCTTTTGATGAATTACAATTTGTAGTGCATTCCTTAAAAAATAAAGCCCCTGGCTTAGATGCTATTAAGGCTGAGATGATTAAACCTGTCCCAATTAATGCTATAAACAATTTATTATTTTTATTTAATAATTTCAAAATTAATTATTCTTTCCCTACTGTTTGGAAAAATATCTGCTTAAAAATGATATATAAGAAGGGTAATCATTCTGATCCTCTGAATTATTGTCCAATATCACTAGTCAGTGTAATTAGGAAAATTTTTTCTACGCTATTGGTTAATCGTTTGTGACTCTGGCTTGAGCGGTCTCGTGTTATTTCTATTACTCAGGGTGCTTTTGTAGCAAATAGAGATGTTGATTATAATTTATTTCTTTTTCTTGGAATTTTGCAATTAGTTTTAACTAAAAAACATAATAAATTATATGTTGGATTTATTGATTTGTCAAGGGCATTTCATACAATAGATCATGATATTTTATGGTCAAAGCTTTCTTGGATAATTATATCCTCTTCTTTCATTAACCTTATAAGACAATTGTTTTCTGATACTGCTTTTCAAATTGAAGTTAATCATTGTCTTTCAGAAGCAGTAATTGCTAATAAATGTCTTCCACAAGGTGAACCACTTAGTCCTATTTTGTTTAATTTATTTGTTAACGATCTCCCAGATTTTTTTTATAGCCACAATACTATGGGTATATCTATATCATCGGAGGTAGAATTGAACTGTCTTTTGTTTGCTGATGATATTGTAATATTCTTGTATTCACCTATTGATCTTCAGAGGAAGCTAAATCTTTTACTGGATTATTGTAAGCCTAATAAACTACTTATTAATGAGGCTAAATCCAAAGTAATGGTTTTTTGGAGAGGGAGCAGATTAGGGAAGGCTGATAAATTTTATTTATCTAACTCTGAGTTGGAGATCGTCTCATCTTACAAATATTTGGATTATTTATTTTACTCCACAGGGCTCATTTTCGTTTCACTTACACAAGTTTTTGAAATATAAACTTCAACTCACTAATCTAATAAGGCTCATCATTAAAATAAAGCAGTCTTCTATTAAGTCATACTTTCAATTGTTTGATACGCTCAAGTTTGAGATTTATGTTTCCTATTTGGGGTTGATTTTTTGTTGATAAATTAGAAAAGACTCAACTGAGATTTATCAGATCAATATTTCATATTAATCATTCAACGACTGGACCCATTTTAAGATTCAAATTGGGTCGACCGCCAATGGCTATATGCTTAGCATTGGCCATTTTAGATACTGGTTTAAAATCTTAGAGCTACCAGAATTTGATCTCAGAAAGATGGTCTATAATAAATTGAAATTAATAGATAGTAATTCTTTGGTCGTAACTTAGCCTTCTTTAATCGAACGTTTATTATCTGATTTAGGTTATTCAATTGCTTATTATACTCAATTTCCTGATAAACCTTTTCTAGCTGAACTTTTCCAGTCATTAAAAGATAAATACTGGACTCAAGATATTCTTTATATCAAGCAAAAGTGTAGTTTTTTTTGAAACTTCTCTATCTTCCCCATGGACACCTCAAGATTATTTGTTATCAAATTTAAATTATAAGATTAAATCTTTAATAATACAATTACAACTTAATAATTATACTATTGTATTAAATGGGCATAGAATTAATATATCGGCTTAAACTAATTGTCCTCTATGTAACAGAATTTTTGAAAATGCTAAGAAACATTTGTTTGTATCTTGTGAATACACTGAACACTTAAAGAATATTTTTTTGAAACTGATTTTAATATGTTTTCTTTATACAATGATAATTTTAGTTCTGTAATGTTATATAAAATTTATAAATTTTTCTGTTATTTATTAAATTAGTAAAACTATGTTAACATGTTTAAGTTATATCAATTATTATCTATTTACAATTATGTATAACAATGTTTGTATTAATAATATTGCTAAGAGTTCTGTAACCCCTTTGAAAAGGCAAAAGTCATAACAAATAAATGATTGATTGATTGAATATATAAAATAAAGAACTTTTATATTTCTGATTATTAAAAAACATTCTATAAACATATAACATTGTAACATTACCAAGCTAAGATTTCATTTATTAATTAAATTACCTGAGTAGAAGAATATCCACCATTTTCATTTTGTTGAGAAATCAACCATCTCATTATTGGGAGAGCAGCAACAACATCTGCTCTTAAAGCATAAGTAAGAAGTGCATATGCTGTCATCTCAATATCTTCTGATAATGATAGAAAATCGTCCTGTTTTTCTTTCTCTGATTTCTCTTTTGACCAATATTTGTAATCACCTAAAGTATATTCAAAGTTACACATTAAAAATAAAAACAGGTCAAATACATTTAATGTGAATACTTGAAATATTGAATAATAATAGCAAAGCTTATTTAATGTATACATTCTTATCACATGCTTTCACAAAACAAAACTGCACACTGATTAAAAAATTGATGAATGTTAAATATCCAATAAAAAAATTATATCTTAAGTAGACATCTAATCTAAAGTAAACAAAGTTTCCATTTCTAAGTATGCCCACTAAACTCAGATTCATTGACTTAACAAACATTTAGATTCAGATATTTTTGAGTTTCTCACTCATCTTCAAGAAAAAAAATTCATATATTAAAACAATAAAATAATACTGTACAATTTTAAAGCTTAGTTTTCTTTTAAAATTCAACCATATACTGAAAATTATTTTAATTTATTCTAAAAGATCTCCAGTCATAAAACATTTAGAAGGATAAAACAAACTTCTGTTTTAGCTCCTATCATTATTGTCATTGTTTAAATTTTGACAACTATAGTACCTACTGACACAAAAATGAAAAAATTAGTTTATCCCGTATACTCACTCTTCTAGTTATTATATTGAATAAACTATTTCTTATATTCCTTAAATCTATCTTACTATGTTAAAAGAATTTTCACTAAGCTAGGCTTTTAAGCATTGCAATAAAATATTTGTATTATTAAAAAAATTACTGTCTGTTGTGTAAAAGTAAGTATACAGTTATTCTATAAATTTAATTTTCTTAGAAGTAAAAATAAGCTTGTACAAAAACTTTAGATTCAATTTTCAAGTTTCACAACAGATTTTATAAGAAATGTAATAAGCAGCAGACAATGATGCATAAAATAATTATTGCCTGTTTAATAAATATTTATATTTTATATAAATTCTAAATTTAAATTACTTTTACTTTCTAATACTTGAAAATATAAAAATTGTTAATGTTATTTTATGTTAGTTTTAGAATATTTAGTCAATTTGATCTTAATGATAATCTGATTTGAGTGAATAAAAATTTGGCTTTTGAAATCAGCAGCTTTTGAAGTTTCTCTTTTTCTTTTAATATCATTTTTATTAATACCTTTCTGTTTGGCTAAACTCTGAAGTTTCTGGAAAGCGAATTCTTTCTTAGGATTATCTGATAAATGAAGGGCATATGTTGCTATTGAAACCATATAAGGATCTTCCGAATTTGCTAGTTCTTTAACAATGTATTTTTCTGTAAGTTTTACTTCTTGTGGATACTTTTTCTGAGCCTATTAAAATGAAAAAATGTTAAAATGAAAAATTGAAAATGTTTAATTTTTTAAAATAGAAACTTACCTGATTTTCAAGCAAGGCAATAAGAACAAAAGCTGTTAATGTAGTTCCACTACCTGCACCACCCTGTTTGAATACAGTAATAAATTATTAATTCTTAAAAATTATATAAACAAAAGATAAAAAAATGAAATAATGTAATTTGCAAACATATTTAAGTGTAAATAATTTTATGAAGTTGAATAAAAACAATGTAAATGACTCATTTAATTTTAATTAAATATAATTAATCTAGTACAGGATATAAAAGTAAATAAAAGTTCAAAACACTTTTATATGGTAAACAAATTTTAATTATATCCAAATATATACTTATCAGTATAAAAATACAAAAATAAACTTACCTGCATTGCTTTATGATGAACTTCACCAGGCTCATCAAATGAACCATTAAGATTCTGTCTTTGTATCAACCACTTCAATGATCCCTCAATTACTTTGTCATCGATGTCAATGTAAGGTATAGCTTGATGAAAAGATCTAACAACGAATGCTGTTAACCTACAAAGTATAATTTATTAGGTATTTTAATATTAAACCTCCATAAAGATAAAATTATTATTAAAAGTAAAAAAGTAAATTATTATTAATAAAATGATCATAAAAATTAATTTTTTCGATTTTGTATAAAAGCTTTTAAAAATTTGTTTTAAACATATAATGCAAAGAGACCATCTACATGAAATTAAAAAATATTTAAAAAATGAAGACGTTATGGAAAAAAATATGAAACAAATTTAAAATTTTAGAAATACTGCTATATATATTATATATTTAAGAATTTCAAAAATTTATATTAATCTTTGTAAGAGAAATATTAGAAATATATTTGTTGCAGTATCATTGGAAATTGTACATTGCATTGAGTAAAATTATTACAGCAGCACTGTCAATTTCATTGTGACCATCTAGAAAGCAGTTTATAATTGGTTCAACAAAATTTTTGCTGCCAGTATGGTGGTAAAGCACATTCAGCTGAGACTATTTTCAATGATTGCAACATTTTAAAAGGGAAGACCATACATATCAGAAGGTAACACAAAACAAATCCAAGTTTTCTGTGCTGAAAGTCCATGAAAGTCATTAGTGTGATGCAGTTTGAATTACAGAGTGTAATTACATTAAATTTTAATGATCTATATAAAAAAATATTTACCAAGTACTTCCACTTTTATCTCTTTTACCAAAAGCACTGAATGATCCATCCTCTCTCATATATGTTAATTCTCTTTGATATCCTAATGGAGAGGGAAAAAAATTATAGAAAAACTGTTCTGTTTATAACTATTTTTATTTTACTCTTTACCTGTTTCCATATATCTGCGAGATTTATTTTGAATTTCAGGCGTCAATCTATCAGCTCTCTGGAGATATTCAGTAATTACTATATTAGGTACAAAATTTAACATATTTTGTTCACCACATCCAAATGGCATCTGAAGCAATTGGTCTAAATTGTTTACACTTGGACCTAATAGATCACCTACAATTACAAAATAATAAATATGTTCAATTTTCAATTCAAAGTTTAATTTATAACAATTTTGTTTTATATAACATAGTTATATAAAATAAGTATGACATTTTATTTCTATGAAACTAAATTATTAAAAGGAAGGGTTAAACATAGGTATAATTAATACAAAACTACTTTCATTAGAATATTTCATTTAACTATATGAGATTCTCAAATCAATTATAAATTTAATTGAAACTACTTATAATTGCTTGGCATTTTTACTTTAATTTTGGAAGAGTAAATACCTACCTATAGCAGAAACAGTAATTGATTGAGATCCTTCAACAGCATTACTTGGAATATCAATAGCAACTTCAGTCGAAAGTGGTTTTGAAGAAACAGCTCTTAGATCTATTAGTACAGCTTTATTAAAATATTGAGTAGCACCTTCAGGCTAAATAATAAAATATTTAAATTTTATTTTAGTAATTTTAAACTTATGAGTAAAATAATAATAAAAGTTACGTACTTTTACTAATAATGTTCGAAGGACAGCATCTCCAGCTAAAGAACTTACTGCAGTTACTTTGATATCTATATAACCTAATACCCGTGGTGTAATTAAAAATGACACTGAAACACCATCTTGAGCAGGAACCTATAAATGAAATTTAATTATTAAAAAATAAAAAAACTTATGAATTATTCAGATGTAAATCAAATTTTTTAATTGAACAGATTAATTATAAATCATTACAGAAAATGTGGCTTTTGTTAATAATTAAATTTAATTTTGGTTGGGTTTAGCAATTTATTGTCTATTTTGCTAAAATAAAATGAAAATAGTAGTGACAATAATTTAAATTGAAATATCTACAGTACTGTTAAAATGTTTTATTGAAAACAAGGATTTGAAACAGAAAATTTGATAAAAATACATTCTAAACTACATCTTAAAAAGTAGAAACATAACAACTTAGCCTTTAAGACTAACACAAATTTATTTGTATATTGTCAATACAAATGTTGAAATAATTTTTTTGTTGTAATATGATTTTATGACATCTCATATGATATATACTATTTGTTATTTTTAAAATTTTAAAATTATTTTATATTTTTGTTTATAAGTAATAAAAACTGAGTAATCATATTGCAACTGAGCATCTTAAATAATAGAACAGATCAACTTACAAGGGAACTGTCGGAGTGTCTTCCTCCTTCCTTAGACAGGTGTCTTACAACTCAAATNACGGCGATATTACATTTAGAATAAATTCTGGAATTTTCAAAAATGGGAGAAGAATTAATAAAATTTTGTATACTTTTAACATAATTATTAACTAAATTTTATTAATTCTTCTCCCATTTTTGAAAATTCCAGAATTTATTCTAAATGTAATATCACCGTCTTCCTCTGAGACTCTTTCACTTCTAAAAATTTGCATAATTGTGTTAAACTACTATAAAGTAGTGCAACGTTTGATTGTTAATAACTCTGATCAACACTTTTAGTGAATGCTACAAATTTAAAATAGAGTTTGTATACTTTTATCGTAGTTATTAACTAAATTTTATTAAAATTTATTAGAAGACACTCCGACAGTTCCTTTGTTAGTTCTTTTCATCAAAGATGATGAAAATATCAACAGGTATAAATGTCATTAATCTTAAAAATAATATAAAACAGTTGATAATTAAGTAAATTTATGTAATTAGTTTTAAAATAGATTTAAATTCAATATATATTTTATATATATAACACATACACTAGAAATTCCCCCATGACTGACTATTTTCTATATTATAGAAAAAATAGAGATTAAGAAATTCAAGAAGAATAGCTGATATTTCTACAAATTAAGTAGCCTATATTGTCTGTTAGAACTTAACTGATGCATGATAATACATTTTAAATAACCAACTCATTAGATTCTTACTGGTGATTGGATAATAGAATGTCATGTAGTCACTACAGAAAGTTTCTAAAAACATTTGTTGTAGAAGTGATACATTGCAGTTATTATTTTAAATTTTAAAATAATAACTGCAATTTAAGTAAATTTAAAATTATGCCAGTTCCCAAAACATTTTAAAATGCAACATAAAATAGATATCAATGAGCAGAAATTGATAAAACCTTTATCTAACAGCTAATATTTCAAACTATACTTTGTCAAAACATAAAAAGAATACAGTAGACCCCCCTATGAAACAGGTTCATATATTGTGGATTCGTATATAATGGCGAAAAAATTGCGACCGTATTCGAATAAACACACTAAAAGAAACTCATATAATATGGTAAAATGTCATCGCCAACTCGTGTCGTGACAGGATTGGTCGAATCTAGACCAATAGCAGATATTGTACAAACCGTTGAGTTTAAACGAGCAGCGGACTTACTAAAAACCATTTATTATTTAACAGCCATAAAAATTATATTTATATTAATGATGTCTCCAAAGTTCAGCAAATTTTTTGCAGAAAAATAATTTATTAGAAAACATGCACCCGCCATTTGATGCGCTGATGAAAACAAGCTTAAGCAATGGCAGCGTCGAATGGTGCACACTTGGTAAGTAATCCTACAATTTTTTGTTTATAGCATAGTTTACATGGATTATTCCCAAAAAAATTATATGTGTTTTGGAAATGTTGAGTCAAATTAGTCTAGAATTGATTAATTTTATGAAAGAAAACCTTTCAAACAGCCATAGTCCATAAACTGCATATGTGCCGGGCTGTGATTGGCTCATGTATTTAAGGACTAATACAACATGAATTTCATAAAAAAACAAAACATATCTACCGTGTTATAGGGGGGTCGACTGTATAACCAAAATTTCACCTGGACTAGACAAAGATAGCAGGAGTTATATGGAATTCACAAACAAACAATCAATTGCTTTTACATTATTAATAAATCAACTATGGATTTTTTTATATAACATATAAGAAAGAAAATGCTTACTGTAACTGTTTTAGTTTTCATTTTGGTTTCATCCCTTATTTCATTTCCAGCAATGGTAAAATCAAATTCATTCTTCTCATTTGATAAAGATACTTTTGCCTGAAATCATTAAATAATTTTTAAGATATTTATATTAAATGTCAAACATTGAAAATTATATTTACATACCTCAACTGCTTTATTATTATAATTGAATACAATCACTTGTATTGCTATACTTTCACCTCTTATGATTGAATATGGGAGATTTAATTTCACAAAGAATGGACGGAAAGTAGTTATCTGTAATGAGAATTTATATGCATATATTAATAAACTAAGATAATTCTTGCATAAAATTTTTATAATTTAAAGGTTTTATAACCAACCTTAGCAGGCTGAGGTGCAATTCCAAGACCAGTTACAGAATCCATTGAAAAAGCGCTCACTATCCATGATGTTATAGTATCTGGAATTTGACTGGATAATACAAGTTTTCCTTCAGAACTATAGAAAAAGAAAATTATAATAAACTATTTGCTTATCAAGAAAAAAAATCTGAGTTAAAAGATATCCAAAAATAAAAACTAAAATATTCTGTTCAAGAATTAAATGTCAAGCACATTAAAAATTATTTCCAAAATATACTACAAATCAAATAGTACCAATGTTTTTGGCTATAAATTTTATAATTATTTAAATTAATTACTATTATAATTTCAAACTACAGATAGCCATGTTACATTCTTATGGACATTCCAAATTAAATTTAATACAAGAAAATGATCCCTAGCAAGATTTGATCTATAAAACTTGTCATATTGGATAGATGTATTACTAATTATATCATCTGGGTTACTACTTAAACCTTTGTCACTAGACACAATTTAGATTACTATATGATCCTTTAAATGTAAAAGCTTTTAAAAACTTTTGTATTAATACTTTTACTATTAAACCAATTTCTTTATTCATGTAAAGTATGAAGATTGTTAATACTGTCGGTATTATCCTTAAATGTAAGTAAAATTCTGATAAAAACATTAAATATAAATGTTTTCTAATATAATAAATAATTTTAATAAATATATGCAACTTAGTTTATTAAAAAGAAAATTATTTGCAATTATTACCTATTTTCATTCTTATTTCTTTTTTTTTTTCCATTAAACATTATAACACAAGTTTAAAATACAGTACATAAAATAGAATTGTAACATTTAGATTAAACAAATGTCTTATTCAATCTATAAAATATTTTAAGTTAAATTTGATTGCATATCAAATTCTCTACTTGTGTAATCTGAAGATGGCTTTCAAAAATCCAAAACAATTAGTTCAACAAATATAAAAAAAAAAATAACGACAGTAATTGGTAATTAATGCCTGTATGATAAAAAGTTTTTTCTATTAAATAGTTGGCGTTCTGTCCAATTTTGTATTATTCAACAAATATATTACCAAATTTCAAAATGTTATTTAGAAAAGTATTATTTATACATATTTTTGTCAAAAATATGTATAAATAATGCTTGCTTTGCAAATTTTTTTTAGAGGTAAAACAATTTCAAAATTTCCTTTTGGCATCTTTAATTTTCCTTTCAGATGTTTTTAATGTCATCCAGGTTTTGGAACAAAGTACAAATATCTGTCTTAAATGCAATCAATTTTTACATTTTATGAAGATCAAGTGTTAGATTATTTAACATTTAAAATGTTAAAATTCATATATAGTACAGCATACCATGTTTCTGCACAAATAAGAACTTTTTCTTATACATGAAAATTGATTGTTTTGGCTTATAAGAATACTGCACAACTATGCTAATACAAATATATCAATACAGTAACTATTCAGTGACATCCCTGTAGTAATCACTATTAAAAATAAAAAGCTAAAATAAAATACAATGCTTCTGACTCTCTTCTTTTCATACACTTCTAAAAAGTTGTTTTTAGAAACAGTGAGTTTTTTTATTTAGGTATTTTGCAGAATACAGTGCAATTTTGCCCTATCTATAATAGCATGCTCATATATTCAAATATAAGAGCATGCTCTTAAATATGCATGTTCCAGTAAAAAAAAAAAATACTGTATTTTTGAATAGTTTGTCAGAAACAAGTTGTGCTTAAGAGTTTGATAACACTGTGCATACATGCTAAACAAACATGGTATTTGGTCTCAGTTGATAGCTCTGGATGCATCAGAAAAGTCTGTAGATAGTATCAAACAGTCCCATAAGACCAAAATTTAAACTCCTTAGACTTGGTAATATGAAGAGTAACTAAAGATAGTGCGTGTGTAACTCCAGTGGAGAACCTGCAGATTCTTTATGAGCATATTACAGATAATAAAAGGAATTTCAGCAGTGATCAGTATTATTGACCAATTTTTTTAATATCTACAGAATTGGTTTAATACCTCTGAAAACAAACATTTTGAAAATTTTATTTTGTAGTCCATTTACTATTTAATTACATTTGAATGGAATTGTATTTTTACTTTTTGAATAATTTAATTTTTCCAGCACAAACATTTGCCCTATCCTATATTTTAATTTTGCAGAATTGGAAATTTTTCTTTATAATTTTTTTAATTAAAAGCAATGCAATTATAAAACAAAATTCTTTATTGAGAAGTTTTAATTTTTCCTGTTTCTTTTTTTTTATAAAAAGATGTTTTTGTATTTTGTAAGAATTTCATATTTTAATTTGAATATTAATTTTTTTTAATTAAGAAAAACCTTACTTTGCCATTGTATCATTCCAAAGCCATGTTTCAGGAAACTGTTTGCGAACTTTAATTGCCGAACTAGATTTGGAATTAAACGAATCATCATACATCATGTCTCCTCCACCACTAGTATATGCAACTTCTGAGTTCATTCTGTACATAACTAAAGTCAATAATTTTATTAATTATATTAATATAAAATATAAAAAAAATTAAAAACTTACTTTTTCTAAATCTTCCTATAATAAGTAATACATAATAAATTAATGAATAGTTGCATTTATCGTTAAACACAAATTATAATATCTTAATACTTTATAAAGAATGGTTTTATAAAATAATTCAGGTATCACTTGTTAATCTTTAAAAATTTCTTTATTTAAAAATTTTAATCCTTATTTGATTTAATTTGGAAAATTTGAAACTTAAAACAACATTCATTTTCCTGTAACTTCATTTTGTTTTAATATTGAACAGCAAGAGACCTAAATTCCAGAATTACAATATTTAATCCTAAAATAAAACTATAACAAATTAGTTATGTATTTAGAATTATATTATATAAGAATTAATTCTGTAAGTGCTATAATTCATGGGATTAAGAAAAGTTTCTGAAATATCAGTTGAATCTGATTTTCAACAACTAGTATTGTTAATATTAAATTGCATACTTCTAATCCTTCTGTTTACAAATATTAATTGTTTTGTTACAATTATCCTTTAACAACTATAACTTCTTTTTTGGGGCTTATCATGATGACAATTTTCAGATTTCAGTTTTTATTTAATATTAAAATGCAATGCTTAACTATTTTTACAATAAAAATCTTATTCGAATTTACAGCCTCTTAATAAAGATGCATTTCAATATTACACCCTCAGTAGTTTACATTTTTTGGGCTGTTCTGTTGTACAAATTAGTATATTAGAGATTCCAGATATATTTAAAATAATCACATTAGACATATTTTAAAAATTTAATTGCATACTAGGCATGCTAATACATTTATACAAACACTTAAAATACATTTTCTATAAAATATTAAAATCATTCTGGTTTCATTGCCCATGCTTCTTCACCAGGTTTTCTCATTTCATCCTCATATCATATTTATCATGGTCTTTTTGCATCTTCCAGTTTTTCCATACTGAATTAATATGTATTAAAAAATCTGTGCTATTGATTTATACTTTATCCTTTTTTCACAATTATAAACAATTTGAATCTTTCATTGATTTTACATTTGTTTTATCCTTCCTATCTTTTAAATTAATTCATGCCCAGAATGGATTCATTTGTAATGTCTCTCTATATATATTTTTTATACCTATGAAATGAGAAAACCTGATGAAAAAGAATGGGAAATGAAAACAAAGAATGATTTTAATATTTTATAGATAACGTATAAGTGTTTGTATAAATCTGGTAGACATTTGAATTTTTTAAATGTGTCTAACATGATTATTTTAAATATATCTGGAATCTCCAATATAGACACTCATGATTGACATAAATAATCCGGCTAATTAGCCTGATTATTAATAGCAATCGTGGGTGTCTATTTGGTAAGCATTGGGTGGTTTTGGTAGATGTTTAACACATTCACGGTGTTATGAGGCACATGTGACTTGTATGGACATGTCTAGTTAGGGCTACAGACATAATTGCTTGGTTTTTCGTAAGGCGGCACATATATTTTAATAACATAATTCTACAAACATCATACTTGATATATCAATATTATTTTATTAGGTGCAATAAAATATATTAATTTAATAGTACAAGGCACAGGTGACTCATGCCGCCCTGTATTAAAATAGACTATGAGTCACCCGTGACTTGTAATGTCCAGCAGTTGCCTAAACGTTTATCTACTGATGCCATGAACGTGTTAAATCTCCAATATACTAATTTGTACAACAGAACAGCCTAAAAAATGTAAACTGATGAGGGTGTAATGCCAAAATGCATCTTTATTAAGAGGCTGTAAATCTGAATAAGATTTGTATTGTAAAAATAGTTAAGCATTGCATTTTAATGTTAAATAAAAACTAAAATCAAACTGTTATAACCACTTAAAAGGGATTTTTTGGATGAATAAACTCAAATGTTATGTCCTTTGAATCCAACATTCACCTGAGTTCAAGAATTACTCAGAAGATTATTTTATTTAAATGCATTTTGGATCAAAGTTTTTGCCGATCACTTTTCAGTAAAGGTACAATCTGTGACAGAGTTTACACCAATATTTGGGACTCTCCTACATTAATCACCATCTTATGTCATGCTGTCCTCTTGAAATGAAAAAAGAATTTTGTTACAGCATTACAGAAAATTTACACATGTTCAACTGATAAAAGGAACAAACTAGAAGAAGAAACAAAGTTGAAAAAGATGTTTTTACTAAATGGCTATTCAAATAGAACAATAGAAAATGGACAAGAGAATACAGAGACAACAGATATAATGTAAAATTTAAAGAAGAATTGAAATGTATATCCTTTCCATATATTAAATATTTCCAGTTTTGAGATATTTTAAAAACTTTTTAGAAACTTTAATTAATCATTTCTATTACCAGTTTCTGTGGATTTCTTTTAAGTCTAAAATATTTTTTGCTTTTTTTCAGTAACTTACATCATACAAGGAACTTCTATGGATACAGACATTATACTGGATGTGAATATGCATTTTGGGTCTTAATGACACCTCTTCAGTCTTTATTTTTTATACAGATCTTATCAAAACAAATAATAGTTATAAATTACATCACACATACATGCTTATGGATAATAAGTTTTTAGAATGTTTTCTATAAAATTATCAGCTAATTTAAAAAACAAATTTGAAGAATACATATTTACTAAACAAAATACAAAGAAACAATAAATTAGAAAAATAGAGTGTTGTATACTACATGAAGTTTACATGTGCAGATAAAGTTCATTATAGTGGAAAAACTGAAAGAATATTGGAAAAAAAAGGATAAAAGAACATGAGTGTGATGGATATTGGCGAGTCCCAAATATTGGTGTAAACTCTTGCAGATTGTACCTTTACTGAAGAGGTATTAATGAGAACTCTGATCTGAAATGCATTTAAATAACACATTTGAGAATAAAATAGTCTTCTGAGTAATTTTTTAACTCTGGTAAATGTTGGATTCAAAGGACATAAAGGGGTTTTTTTAAACAAATAAACCAAAATATTAAGTGATTATAAAAGTGAATGATTATATCTGGCAAATATTGCTAGTTTTAGCTATGTACTAAAATCTGAAAATTGGTCTCCATGTATGATAAGCCCCCAAAAAAGAAATTATAGTTCTAAAAGAATAATTGTAACAAAATAATTAACCTAAAATTGCGTTGAAAATCAATAACTGATTTTCCTTCATTTAACATTGTAATAATTATTCATTACTTAATATATTCATGTGTACATACACAATTTAACATAATTTAACATAATTAAAAATACTCACTCATTTCAATATAAACAGGAACTAAACCATTTGTTAAAATTATTAGTCCAGATTCCTATTAGACAAATTCAATAATTTAAGTTAAATAAAATCAATTTTAAAATAGAACTAATCTTAATGCATTAATAAAATGTTAAGATTATGTTAATTCATATTTTAATTTTTAAATTAAAAACAAGTTTTATATATAAAGCTACAAAACATTTGCAAAAAGTGTATACTTCATTTGAAAGTATATTAATATATTAAAGCATTACTACTACATTAATTAAACATATTCAGTAATGAAACAAATATAAAATTATTAATAAAATTATTTTTCAGTATTATTTCCTATTTGCAGTTTGTTAAATAACTTTTTTTTAGTTATATCTATAAAAGAAAAGATTTTTTGTTAATATCTATGTTATTACTAAAAATGGATTTTTAGGCACAGCATCTGAACTGAAATGTAAATAGGGGGCAACTCTGCCATGCAATAAAAACATGTTTGAAGTCAAATAAAATCTAAGATTGTGATAATTGCACCTATAAGCATTATGCACACAAATACCTAAATTGCATTTTTTCCTCCTCTATTTTCTCATTTCATTTATCTAAAAAAAAAAAAACTTTCTACTCTGTTTCAAATATTACATTGTTTATAAATTATAACCTATTTACTGTGGTGTCATCTATGCCCTTAGGTACATAGATGGTACCATTCATAGTCTAAATGTCATTTTGTATCTATCACTTATAAGAAAAGATGCCTCAAGTTAAAAAAAGTAGGTTAGATTGAATTTCAAAGATGAGGGAAAAGTTATTGATGGTAGTGTTTTAAGATGTGTATTATGCAAGATTTCAGTTATACTGCATGAGAAACATTTAAAATCATAAGCTCAACAGCATATTAGCCAAAAGATGTATAAAATGTATAAAGAACTAAAAAGTTAAGACTTTGATAATCCTTTATTGGACCATCTCTTCAATCAGCACGTGATGTGCAACAAGGAAGACAGCTGTTTAATGCAGAATTAATGGCCATGTTTATGCAGACAGGAATTCTGCTGTACAAAGTGAGCCATTCTGCACTGAAACTTTCTAAAAAAGCATACAGGAAAAGTTATTTCTGATTAAAGTAATTTCAGGAAAAACTATTTGCAACCAATTTACAAAGCTACAATAAATAAGATTTTGTCAATTATTGGAGACCATCCAGTTGTCTTCATAATGGACAAGACTACAGATTTCTTAAAAAGGTAGGTTTTTTAAATATTTTGGTTGTTCCACTTAATAGAAACACATTTCCATGGCATTTTTTCAAGTGGTACATTTTAACCAAACAAATGCAACAACTGTTATGCAATTATTTAATGATGCATACCTGGCCTTATAGTCTTCAAAAACTGAACATGAAAAAATATGGTAGTTAGTTACTGATCAAGCACAATACTCTTATGCAAATGAATTCATTTCATTTGCATAATTCACTTTTGATGCCCCTCCTTGGGCATCAAAAGCATTTGCTAATCTTTGTTTGGAGTTTTCATGCCAGATATTGGTTACAGAGTACACATATTTTTGAATTCAATTCATTAATAAAAAAGTTTTGTTGAAATGTCCTATCAATATCAACATTCACACAGACAACTGACTTCCTCATCTACACTGACAATTAAAAAGAAGCTGAAAATGTGTGTCATAATAAAATTGCTTGCTGGAAAAAGTAAGGAAGGTTGTCTGTTGTAGGTTATAAGTTCCAGCTTCTGAGAAATCTTATTTGAAAAAATTTGCCAGTTTGTAAACAATTTACATGAGCAGAGTTCTTATGCATGGTTAAGGTATTAATAAAGAAAATAAACTTTAGAACATGCTTTTTTTGTGTCCATACTTTTACATTTTCATGCCAAAGCATAAAACAGCTAGAAAAAACCAAGCTTTCTTCTGAACAACAATGGAAAATCATACAGAAAGCAAGAAACAAATTGGACAGTTTTGTGTTAGACAAATTGCCACAAAGTTTGGCAAAGAACCCAGATATTAGTCTAAGAAATGCAAATTGTAAAATTTAGGGTTAAAACGAGTATGCACTACTTGTTTCAGTGAGTGTTAAAAGAAGTTTTTCTGTATTGAAAGAAGGCACAACTTTGCATCTAAAAACTTAAGAGATGTAGAATGTTGTTAGTTATAATTAATTTTTATTTTATGATTGCAATAAATAACATTTTAATGGTGTTTGTTAGTTATGTTTGTACATGTCTTATTCTAAAAAATGTGCAATTTTTGTAATTTTAAAATTTAAGAAATGAAAATTTGAATGGATTTTTACAATGCACTTTAGTTCTCTTAAATTATTTTAATAAGCATTTTAAAGCTGTTATTTGCATAAAAAGTCATTAATTCAATCATTATTATAAACAACATAAATTGCACCCAAATTTTCAAAAAACTGCATTTGTTTTATATAAAAATTGTACCTAAAAATCCATACCTTAGTTATTATTTCAATACTAATCATAATGACAGTAAAATCAAAAAGTTTTAGCTACAAATGTGGTATTTACAATTTGAATTAAAAAGTTCTATTAAAATACTTTAATAATTTAGAAAATGCATGAAAATTACATCAAATATTTCTCCAGCAGTTTTCAATCCAGGCCACCAGAAAGATCTTTTCCTCCTTCGGTACCATGGAGATGTAAATCTGTCTGCTCCAGGAAAATATTTATCAATTTCATCAATTACCTAAAATTTAAGTAAATTATTAATTTCTCAAAAAATTTATTGTTAGATTTATGAAATTTTAACTTACATCTTTTTCTGTAATGTCATTTCCAGATTTCAATAGTAAAATACTTTCATCAATTCCTAATAAGCCAATAAAGGCATTGGGTTTTGTTTCAACCTCAATATTAACTTCTGCACCAGGTTTAGTGTTATCAATATTGCTTTTAACTGTTATCTATGTCAAAATTTAATTTAGAAAAGTTAAATTTAATCAGTTATAAAATTTATTCTATGTAAATAAACTTACTGGTGTCCTTAATACTCCAGCTACTTCAAAATTCACAGCATCAGCAATAACTTCACTGTTGTTATTTCTAATATAATAAATTACAACATGAGCACGAGGAGTCATTCGATGACTTATTGGAAATCTTATTTGATAGTTCTTTTCATTGGGTATCTTGAATGTATTTGCAAAAGCAATTCCACCTCGTCCTATAACCTGTAAATTTATTAAAATAAAAAAATATCTAAATTTCTAAAATTAAATGACAGTGCTTAAACTCAAAATGTTTTGTTGTTATTATGTTTTGAATTTTGACATTACATTTACAGTTTTTACATAAATTAATCTTAAAGTTTTTACACCTCTTGCTTTTTAGTTGTTTAAATATTTTCTTCAATTTATTGTAGCTCTGATTTATCCATATTGTGAAAACCTCAACTACAAGAAAAACCTTAAACATATAAACTTGTACTCATATAAATGTACCTCAATGATTTTTCTTTAAAATTATGTATAGAAGAATGAGAGTGAGTCATTTCCTGTGCGCTTTCACATTGAAATTATAAATATTTAAATGCTTAGCAACATATTTAAATTTTTATTTTACATGAATACATGTAAAATAAAAATTTTTATAGAAAGACATCGAGGAAGATGAAAAGATCAGTGGATCCAAGATCACTTGTGAAAGTTTATGTGAGGAAAGATGCAAAACTTAGAAGGGACCAGGCTAAAACAATGGCTGAGATGGAGAAAGGAAACCAAAGATACACCAAATTGGATAGACACGTAAAGAAAAGTTGTCAGAAAAACAGGAAGGAATAGTTAGAATGAAAGTGCGCTGAAGCACAGGAGGCTTCCAACCGGAATGACTCCAAGACCCTGTACTTCATAGTCAATGAATTGACTGGGACGAAGAGTAATTCCATTCTAGCATTACAATAAAAGACAAAAATGAAAAGCTTCTGATTGCTCAAGATGAACAGAACAAGAGATGGATGGAACACTTTCAGGAAACATTTAATCAAGTGGAACCGACTGTCACATATGATTTTGATATTGAGGACACACAGAATGAGTTTCAGGTGGACACATGCGATATTACCCTTGAGGAAGTGAAATTTGCGATTAAAAGCCTAAAGAATAATAAGGCAGCCAGTCTGGATGAAATTATGGCTGAGATTTTGAAGCATGGAGGGCAACCCATGTTGGAAAAGTTAATGTTGTTTAACAGGTGTTAGCAGTGTGGGGAAGTCCCAGAGGATTGGAGAAGGGGCACTGTAGTTAGAATTCCTAAGAGGGTAGATATCTTCCAAATGTACCAACTGGCGAGGTATCACTCTCCTTTGTGTCTTGAAAGGCATTTTGTGTGGTCCTCCTTCAATGCCCATGGATTGCCCTCGATCAGCGCTTGTGGGAGGAGCAAGCTGGGTTTTGCTGCGGAAAATCATGCAGTGAGCAGATCTTCTCCCTTCAAAATATCATTGAACAGTGCATTGAGTATCGAAATCCATCGGCCATCAATTTTATTGATTTCAAGTAGGCTTTCGACAGTGTTCACTGCAAATCCCTCTAACAGATCCTGCGATTATATGGTGTATCGACAAACTTTGTCACCATTTTCAAGGCCTTATACCTGCATTCAAGTTGTTGCGTCACAACTGAAGGTGGTCATATGGACTTCTTTGAAATTATGACAGGAGTCAGGCAGGGTTGTGTCCTGTCCCCTTTTCTCTTCCTCATCGCCCTTGATTATATCATGCGATGGGCAGAAGAGATTGGTGTGCGTTGGGGCCGACATCCCACTGATCTAACCAGGATTATCTTGGAGGTTTGGTTACACAAATTTTACTAGCCCGTAATAGACGGGGTTGGAGAGGAAGGAATTACAGTTTCAACCGACTTCACACAACTAGTAAAAATCCTGTCGCAGACGCCAATGATTTGATTGTGCTAGATCAAGGCCTACCAAACTACACAAACAAATAGCCAGCTTACAAATTCTCACTTTATTTAACACAGGGTTCGTGTTTCAGCAATTTGAGGGCTCATTTGAACTCTCAACTACACAACCACGTGTCCCGGAATTCAATATTACTAATCCCTTTGCTCTCCCTTCCTCCTTCGCGTCACATAACACAGTTCAGACTCGTCACATTAACACGTGAAGAAAGGTTTGTTTAACAGTCTACTCGGTTTATTCTGTGTACAGCACAGATGAACTTCGATTCTCTCCCAATGTTCGAACCCTTTCTCCTTCAGTAAGTTTTGACTCTTCCCGATGGCGTTTTCTGACCCTTTTCAAACAGCAATCCTTCGTAGACGGAAGGGAAAAAGGAAAAGATATCCTGGTACACACGTGTACCTGCTATATATACCCTTGGTTAGCCAAACCCACCTGACCTCTTCCGTGGCCAATCAAAAGGTCCGGCTTCAAACAAAGGAGGGAGGTAGAGAGTAAGGGTTACACATGTCTGAACAGACAATAAACACAAAGCAACAAAAAAAACCCCGACAACTAAAAAAATAAAACTTAAACCTAGTACAAATGATAATAACTATACAATAATATTTATATACAATACTAAGAACAATCAATAAGTGGCGGAGCACTACATGTGGAAGCACAACAATTGGAGGAAGTGGAGAGTTTTACCTACTTGGGTAGTATTATTTCCCAAAACGGTGATGTGGACAAGAAATGCCGCATCAGAAAGGCGGCGACCATTTTCCAACAGATGAACAGGATCTGGTCCTCACCATCCATCTCATTGAGAACCAAATTCTGCCGTTCATCTCCATCATGATTCCGATAGCTGTTTATGCTAGTGAGTCCTGGAAGACATCAGAAAACATCAATAGAAGGCTCGATGTCTTCCAACAGAGATGTTTACGATGAATCTTAAATATCCGATATTTAGATCATATCACCAATGAAGAGATTCTCTGAAGGAGTGAGAGAGAGGTGCAAACTTCATAACATTGTCACCTGTAGAAGAGTTCGATTAGCCGATCACATTTTTTTGTCTAGAGAACAATAGGATCCCTAAGTCAGCCATAAAATGGGTTCCTCCAGTGCCAAATGACCACAAGGATGCCCCAGGAATACTTGGTGTAGAACTTTTCTCCAAGATCTGAAGATGCTCAATATGACATGGGAGGAAGCTGAACTCCTTGCCCATGATCAAAATCTATGGAAGATAATTACTGCCTGGTATACTACTTAGCATTGGAGGAACTACTACTACTACTACTACATGAATACATGACAACATACAAGTATAAGCTTTTTTTAATTTTAACAGAAATATATCTTCTAAAGATAGAACTTCTGATATCTAATAACTAATGTTAGCATCTCCAGATTTTTTTAAAATTTCAATTAAAACATCTCATTAACAAAAATTCCAGTTTAAAGTTTTCAAAGTTCACCAACTTTTATTTTTCTTATTAACATTAATCAATCTCTACCTACTTTCTTCAATAACATTTTTGACATTTTTATGTAATATAAGGTTTCAAAACTTGGCATTTGAGGTATTTGGTAATATCTTTTTTCAAGTTCTACAGATTTCTATCATTTATGCAAGTTTTATGTAGTGTAGACAGGTGGGTACCTGTCTAACTAGCAACTATTTTAAAATACTTGCCAGTCTTACTTTCTAAGTTAGAAGCTCTATAAAGTTGGGTGAAGACTGCAAAATGGTTATTCCAAATCTAATCAAAATAATAAAAACTACATTTTCATATTTTAATTAAAAAATTATAACAGTTAAGTGATATTTTCTTAATGTGTTTTTACTCATAATTTAAATCTTTAATCACAGATGAATGTATATATATTCTATAAGTGGGAGACAAAAGCAAAATTACTTACTAATTTTTAATTTCTACATATAATTTTTTAAAGAAATTATTATTGAAGCAAATATGAGTAGAATGTATTGACTAAAGTGCTATGTTCATACAGTAGAGAGTCGATTATCCGAATCAATTGGGGACTGGAGTTGTTCGGAAAATTGATATTTTGGATAACCGATTATGTATGAAAAAATATATTAACCTATCCCATGTTGAAATTTTTCTCCATTGCATGTTGCTTCGCGTTGAATTTTCGTCGATGTTAAGCCTAACAAAGACTACTGTATCGTTAAAAATTTTTTTTATTTTGTACAAACAAAATAAATATATTGAAAAATATAAAAACAATAAAAAATTATACTTCAGAAGTTAATTTAGTATCAAAAACGTAAAATATTTGAGTAGCCCAAGACATAGACAAAGATTGCAGCACCACAGCACTGGCAAAAATTTAAATTTGCCGACTGGAATTCTTTCAGATAATTGACATTTCAGATAACTGACTTTTGGATAATCGACGCTCTACTGTATTTTACATTAAAACACTTTAAATTACTTACAAAATATCAAAACATAAAAATAAACATCATATGAAACATATGGTAATAAAATATATAATCTATTATTATGCTTCTTGCCTGTATTAATAATTTCCTGTATATTGGTTACTTAAACCATTAAAATCAGTTTTATTACACTTTCAGTGGGTTTTATCAACTCTTTTACCTAATGTGCATTTCTGCCAGTTTAGTTGTTTTCAATTGGTTTTCACAAATTATAATATCAATCCCAAAGACAGAATTTAATAACTACACATAATTATAATTTGTATTTATAACGATGACAATCATTAGATACTTAAGATTTTAATTATATAGTTTAGTTATTGTAAGAAAATCTTTAAGAATTTGTATTTATAATGATAGTAATCATGTGTAGTTATTGTGTGCTTTCTTTGGGATTGCTATTATAATTTGTAAAAACAAATTGAAAACAGCTAAACAAACCAAAATGCATATTGAGTAAATAAAGAGTTGATAAAAAACCACTGAAAATATAATAAGCCTGATTTAATGGTTTTAAATAACCTGTATTTGGGAGAATGTACAGTATCTTAGATACTGTGTGCGAAGTTTTATTATATAATACATTTGAACACATGTTTGAATTTAGATTACAATAATATAAAAAGAAATATTGTATGAAGTAATTTAATAAGTTATCAAAGCATCAATCTCTTTGTTTGAAAAACTTAACATTTATAAACATGTAAACATTTAATATGCTTATTAACTAATTTACAGAATAGGATATATTTTAGTAGAAAGATTAATAGTTTATTTTTTAAAATAATACTTATTTTGTTAGATATTTAATTTTATTTGTTAGATCTTTAATATTTTTAAGAAAAATATTTTCAAATCCTTTATTACAAAAATATATGATGATAAATTGTAACGTGATAAGTTTTAAAAAAATGGACTGTTTTTGAATTCATGATTATGATTGGGTAAGTGCAGTTTGTTATTAAGTTGCAAAGGTAATTGCTTATATTATTTCCTTTTGATTTCCATTCTTGTAAGTTTTGGAAGTACATTTGTTACACCTTAACTGCTGTCTTGATACCTCCCACATTATTTGCTAATTTGAATCATTAAAGAAATGTCTGAGGAATGCAATTTCCATTTAACTATTGAAATTATGAATTTAATAATTTGGAAATAGAAAATGACTAATTTTTATTACAAATTTTGCTATTTTAAAAATGTAAATTATAATTACAATCATCATTTATGATGACAAGTGACAGATATGATTTGATTTGTGATGGTTAATTCTGGAGTACTTGTTTTGGATTTATTGTACAATACTGAGAAGTTATCTGTTATTGTTCTTAAATAGATTCTGTGAATTTATTTAATCAGTTAATATTAATTAAATATATAATTTGATTAGTCATAACTTTTTAGCTTTTCTTCTTTAATTTCATATGATCCTATCCTTAAACTGTCTATCTTAAAAACGATTAACAAATGATAAATTATGCAATAAAATTCAGCAAAAATTTCAAATTATAAGAATAAGCACCATAACTTTCCGGAGTAGCAGTATATTATTCAATTTTTTAGTATATCAGAATCATAAAAATTTAGATATTATATCTGAAATAAAAATAAATATAAAAATACATCAAGAGAACAAAGAGGATTAGATTTATGCTTTAAAGAACAAATCTTTCAATTTACTTGTTCTGTTATACTCAGAAAAATTTGTATAATGAGGTAAGTGTAGCAGAAAATGTTTGGAAATCAGGTGTGAATAACAAATATCTTACATAAAACCAGACATAATTGTAAATATATACATATATCAATAAATTAAAAAATTAATAGAATCAATTAACATTAAATAAATATATATCAATAATTATATATTTACTTATTTTATTAATCATATAACATTAAACAACATAAATATCATTTCTCTTTAAATGCATTTCTTTATAATAACCATTTAAATTGGAAAAAAAAATTATATCTGAAATATTATAAATTAGTTACTTTCCACATTTCTTAACATTTTCTAACCAGTAAAAACCATCTTTTAGTTAAAACAAATTACAATAAAGCATCAATTATCCGACCCCCGATTAACCGTCACATCGGTTAACCGACCGTTCTAGTCGGCAAATTTCAAATGTCCGCTAGTGATGCGACACTACAATATTTGGGTATATCTTGGCTACTTTAATATTATTTTTGTTAAATTTTTGTGTGTTTTAGCTGTCAACACTGGCTCGACCATGAAAGGGAGGCCAGTATTTAAATGAGACTTAATTTTCTAATTATGAGTGGTTGTTTGTTTTGTGAGCAACAAAATAATTTTAAAATAATTTTTAACGATACAATAGTGATGATTATTATTTTTAAAAAATTTTGTTATGCTTAACATCGATGAAAATTCAATGCAAAGTAGGTTAATAGCGATATACTAATATACTAATTACATGGGATATACTAATATACTATACTAATAATGTATTTTTTTCATTCTTTTTGGTTATCCGATTTTTTCAGTTATCCAACCAACCTGAGTCCCCAATTGAGTCGGATAATCGATGATCTACTGTAATTTATTTATTTAATTATTTTATTTTTATTTAATTATTATATTATATTTTATTTATTAAATTATTTTATATTACTGCATTGCTTATATAAGCAATGCACTGATATAAAATAATTGATTTTACTAAAACATTTCATAAATTTTCACTAAAAATTTTATAAGTCAATATTACTTACCTCTACAACAACGTGGTTTAAGGGTTCTGTTGCATTCACTTCTAAAATAGCTTCATCATCAATCTTAGGATTCTGAGTTAAGAGTGTAGCTTGAATAAAGTTGTCACTGGGTGAAATGGCAGCATCAATATTACTTATGTAGTAAGTGTGATTGTGAAATTCAGCTTGAATATTTAATACTTTTACAGAAGCATTATCAATTTTATGTGGTGGATAAAATTCTAATTTAACTAATCCATTTTTAGGTATTTTATAAACTGAAGCACTCCATTTTTCATCATTATAAGTATAACCATGTTTTAATATCAATTCAGCATTATCTTCAGTCAGAGGTTTATCATCTTGATGAGCAACTTTCAACTATAAAAATTACAAAAACAATTATGTATATATCCTATTTTAATCTAAAGATAATGTAAGTAAGAACTTACAAATGCAGCATATTTTAATCCAGGCTTAAAAGTTTTTGAAGATTTAATTAATTCAATCTTTATATCTGTTTCGTGCATTTTTAAGAGTGAAGTAGCATTATATTTTCTTCCAGTAAGTTCTTCTTGAACAACTGCATTAAATATTATTTCTCGATAGTAATAATTTGGTTTCAATTGAAGATCTTGAACAAGATTCATTGGAATGTTGACACTACCATCAATCTGTAATTGAGGAATTTTTTTTGTTTAAAAAAATAATGCATATAAGATCTTTTTCTTAAAAATATGAAATTTTTAAAACTAATTAACATTACATTTTTAGAAGTTAGTTTGTATAAGTTTATTATTTTTAATTGTGTATTTAAAATAAGACAAGTTAGAGTAACTTTTTAAAAATAAACTAGAAAATCAATTCAATTAAAACTTTATCCAACTACTAAATGTAAATCAAAATGCTTAGAATACCTTTAATGTAGTTTCAAATGAGGAAAATGTTTTATCAGGATAATATGAATATTGTGTATTTGGTGCAGCTGTAAATATAACTTCTCCTTTAACTGGCTTTCCATAAGTATACCTATTAGATTTAAAAAAAATATTTAAACTTTAATATATATATATATTATAGCATAGTTTCAAAATCTTTCTAAAAAGCTTTTATTTTAAACTTTTTAAGAGAAGATATAATTTAAATTTAATTTTTATTTTAAAAATTAACAATTTTATCAAAAATGCTGTTTGATTACAACATTATTATTCCTAACTGGTCAAAATAGTTTAGTTATCATAGTAAATAATAACCTTTAGTATAAAAACTAAAAGCAATTAGTAGGATTATCAATTCATTCAATATAAAATGCAAGTTAAAATTATTTGATTTATATAGTTTTTACTTATTACACATGCTGTTTTCAATTAGTTTCAATTTTTGTAAATTTAAAATAGAAATGGCAATTTTGATTTTAGAATAGTACTTGGATTGATCAAAAAGTAATTTTACAGAGCCAACATCCCAGACTATTTTTATTGTAGAATTTAACTGCAAGTAATATGCTATTTACTTGCAGTTAAATTCAATAAAATCATCCAGACTTTCCAGACACACATTACAATCTGCAATGAGCATGTTCATCCAACTGTAAAAAAATTCTTTACCTATTCCCATAATTCATCATGAACAATGTGCCTATGCCAAGCTGAGCTGAAAGGCAATTTTGGTGAAAAGTGATATACTGTATCTGCTATCCAAGATCAGTTTACTAATTCTTACAAGATTGACTTCTGTGCTGAGCACTTGGATCAAACCAAAAATTAAATAACTGTTTATAAAAGTTGTCTTGCAAAGAAGCCTAATCTTATCAATCGGGAAAGCTATGTCACAACTGTCCAGCACTCATGCATCATACTAACCAATCAGTATTGTCAATCTGGGTCATTACAAATTACATATATTGAAGTTAAACTTGGTAGTTCTTTAGCTTTTAAAACTATAGACTAGACTCTGTAAATTTGATCATCCCATGTATTTATTATTTTAAATTGACATCTTTTAATAAAAGGAAAAATAACTGAATATGTGAGAATCAAACAAGTTAAAGGAAAACAACCAGATGATGACCTCATCAGAAGCTAGTGTATGTCAACTTTCTGACTGGAGAGTGTGTCAACTTATGCTTTCTCAGAGTCGATAGCAACATCTTATGACACCTTTCCCTCAACTTTTAATCATCTAATACGTTTGCACCATTAAATATGAAGAAGAGCAGCCAAATTTAGTCAGTTGTTGCCCATTCTTCATCCCTTTAAGATCTGTGCCTGAGTCCTATTACCATCTGCAGTTTCATTTGTGTGCCTCCTTTGGATTTCTCGTCATCCTTCTGCTTGTGTGCTGCTACTCTCCAGAACTGTTAATTGATGTCAAGAATTATTTCCTGTTCTTCTCAATGCAGGAGTTCTAGTTTAGACTTGTAAGGTACTGAAATTTGTGAACTCTCCCTCTCCACGATGATAGCATGCATAAATGCAAATATTACATCTTACTTAGCTATATAATGTACTGTACAAACTTTCTTGCCATCTAATAAATGTTTAAGTGTAGTTAATTGTGTTGAGTGATTTCTGAATCTCGTCATTTCCTACTTCATCCTCTTATCCCTAGTCTCACATATGAGACTGCATTATTGCCATCCACAAAATGCTCAAAAACTCCAGTAGTAGGCATAACCTACTTGTTGTCAGAAATTTCAGTGTAATCATTTACATTTGGCAATAAGAAGGCTAAAAAAGGCTGTATAAAATTCCACACTAAACCTCATATTGGTGTCAATTTGGCCAAAACCTCAGAAACCTTACCAATATATGTTTTAATAATAATACATTTTGTGTGCCTAGAAACATCTTCAAATCAAATCAAAATTTTTTAATACAGAAAGAGTATNGTGTATAAAATATTCAAAGTTAAATATTTTTAAGTTTTTGAATGATTTTTTAATCTACTTCTGATTAAGATTACATATTTATAAGAAGGAATTTCTTTTTGTCAGTAAAACCAATTCAAGCTTGAATAATAATTTAAATTCATTTATTAATTAATTTAGTTTATTAATATAAGAATAATTATCAGATTTGATATAAAATTCTTATTTTACTATTGATATTAATATATTTGTAAATTTAACATAATTTATTTTTGTTTGGAAATTGAAAATAATTTAAATATATTAATTAGGGTCAAAGTTTTATGAAGACATTTACTGTTGCTGAATATGGTAAGGAAGAATAATAGTTAAAATTAACTATACATTTATATTAACATATAATATGTAATACTCTTTTAATTTCAGTTCTTCCTACATTTAGTGTGGAAATCATTACTCCATCTTACGCAACTTTCAACAAATCAGATATTGTTGCTACTGTGCAAGCCAAGTAATATTTTATTTATTTTATGTATTAATTTATTTTAAGTGATAAGTTTTCTCTGATTTAGGAATTTTTTTAGATATCATCTGAAGTATTTTTTTTAGTATTTATGGAGTGATAAGTAATAAACACTTTACAATATTAAATATTTATATTTTATCAGAAACATTGTTTCATAGTGATAATTTCAGTTGTATTTACTAAATGTTATGTCAAATTGGAAAAAAAGATTTCAAGCAAAATTTTACATATTTAATAGTTGTATTAGATAAAAATTTGGCATATTTCAGAATCATGAATAAGTATATATAAATTTCTTGTGTTGTACAATTTTTCATCACCTGATATTTTGTAATTTTATATTTTTGCAATTTATTTTGAACTATTTCAATGAACCAATACTTTCATTAAAAAATTTTAGTTAATTTGTTGTACATGCTAGTAAAATGCTAGAAGCATTAAAAATTTTCATCAAATATTTTTAAGAAAGTAGCTTATTTAACTTTACAAATAAACTGATTCATTCATTACACATTATAAAAATTTACATTTCATTGTCAAAAAAGTTACTTTTGTTTAATTTACAGATATTCAATTTCATTTCCCATCTGATAACAATCTCAGAAAATGCATATTCAAAACTGGGAGTGTCTGTACAGTAATTAGATTATGCAGATCCAATAATGATCTTGACCCAATTTTCAATACTTGGGTAATTATTAAGCTGTTGACTGTCATTTAAAGTATAAAATTCAAATTACATGGCAAACATATCAAAATTATAGAGTAAACAAGTTAAACGTCAAAAAGCAAAACCAATTGTGTGAAATAACTCTTATGAATAAAACTTACTGAAATATCCTGTTTTTTTTCATCTAATTTATGCATCACAATACATCAGCTATACTTGCTAGTATATTGTAAAGTTTCCTTCTGTATATTGTTCTGGCAAACTTGTTAATGTGAAAGGAAATATTATAACTTTGTTTTAGGACATTATTTGTGACAACATTTTATTTTACAAATCATATAAAACAAAATTCTAAGTATTATCTTAAATAGTTATTAAATGAAGATGCAAATTTTTCAAGCAAGCAAAATAATAAAGATTATACTGTTATTATTGTAGGATACTAATTTCTAATGTTTCTTTCATTATTAAACAGAGGAAGTATTTAAAAATGAAAAAAGTGTGTGTATATATATACACAAGATATATACAAGTTTTTAATTAAACAGATTGATAGTTTGAATTAAAAACTACGTTGATTACTAGTATTTTATTTTTTATATTTTGTGAATAGTTACCTAAGTGTATGGAATTGTATTAATCTTCATTGTGTATTTGTCTTCTAAATTACAATCTGTTTTAATGTTTTATAAATAAATTTATATATACAGTGAAAACTGCTTAGGCATTTTTTAGAAATTTTAGAAATTTTTGCCCGTTTTGACAGATGCCCGTCGAATGCAGGTTGTCACCTAAGCAGTTTTCACTGTATATATAAATTTATTTATAAAACATTAAAACAGATTGTAATTTAGAAGACAAATACACAATGAAGATTAATACAATTCCATACACTTAGGTAACTATTCACAAAATATAAAAAATAAAATACTAGTAATCAACGTAGTTTTTAATTCAAACTATCAATCTGTTTAATTAAAAACTTGTATATATCTTGTGTATATATATACACACACACACACACACTTTTTTCATTTTTAAATACTTCCTCTGTTTAATAATGAAAGAAACATTAGAAATTAGTATCCTACAATAATAACAGTATAATCTTTATTATTTTGCTTGCTTGAAAAATTTGCATCTTCATTTAATAACTATTTAAGATAATACTTAGAATTTTGTTTTATATGATTTGTAAAATAAAATGTTGTCACAAATAATGTCCTTAAACAAAGTTATAATATTTCCTTTCACATTAACAAGTTTGCCAGAACAATATACAGAAGGAAACTTTACAATATACTAGCAAGTATAGCTGATGTATTGTGATGCATAAATTAGATGAAAAAAAACAGGATATTTCAGTAAGTTTTATTCATAAGAGTTATTTCACACAATTGGTTTTGCTTTTTGACGTTTAACTTGTTTACTCTATAATTTTGATATGTTTGCCATGTAATTTGAATTTTATACTTTCAAATGACAGTCAACAGCTTAATAATTACCCAAGTATTGAAAATTGGGTCAAGATCATTATTGGATCTGCATAATCTAATTACTGTACAGACACTCCCAGTTTTGAATATGCATTTTCTGAGATTGTTATCAGATGGGAAATGAAATTGAATATCTGTAAATTAAACAAAAGTAACTTTTTTGACAATGAAATGTAAATTTTTATAATGTGTAATGAATGAATCAGTTTATTTGTAAAGTTAAATAAGCTACTTTCTTAAAAATATTTGATGAAAATTTTTAATGCTTCTAGCATTTTACTAGCATGTACAACAAATTAACTAAAATTTTTTAATGAAAGTATTGGTTCATTGAAATAGTTCAAAATAAATTGCAAAAATATAAAATTACAAAATATCAGGTGATGAAAAATTGTACAACACAAGAAATTTATATATACTTATTCATGATTCTGAAATATGCCAAATTTTTATCTAATACAACTATTAAATATGTAAAATTTTGCTTGAAATCTTTTTTTCCAATTTGACATAACATTTAGTAAATACAACTGAAATTATCACTATGAAACAATGTTTCTGATAAAATATAAATATTTAATATTGTAAAGTGTTTATTACTTATCACTCCATAAATACTAAAAAAAATACTTCAGATGATATCTAAAAAAATTCCTAAATCAGAGAAAACTTATCACTTAAAATAAATTAATACATAAAATAAATAAAATATTACTTGGCTTGCACAGTAGCAACAATATCTGATTTGTTGAAAGTTGCGTAAGATGGAGTAATGATTTCCACACTAAATGTAGGAAGAACTGAAATTAAAAGAGTATTACACATTATATGTTAATATAAATGTATAGTTAATTTTAACTATTATTCTTCCTTACCATATTCAGCAACAGTAAATGTCTTCATAAAACTTTGACCCTAATTAATATATTTAAATTATTTTCAATTTCCAAACAAAAATAAATTATGTTAAATTTACAAATATATTAATATCAATAGTAAAATAAGAATTTTATATCAAATCTGATAATTATTCTTATATTAATAAACTAAATTAATTAATAAATGAATTTAAATTATTATTCAAGCTTGAATTGGTTTTACTGACAAAAAGAAATTCCTTCTTATAAATATGTAATCTTAATCAGAAGTAGATTAAAAAATCATTCAAAAACTTAAAAATATTTAACTTTGAATATTTTATACACTAATTCATTAAAAATATAAAGATCATACACAGCAGATTATCAAGATATAACTATAATTTTTTATAGAGGAACCAAATAAATCTTAATAACAGTATAAAAAAAATTCTTATCTTTCATATATTTAATAAAATATGATATTAGATAGTTCATTAAGTTATGCATTAATGCATAACTTTTGTATAAAAAGAATTTAAACTTTTTTTTTTTTGTTGTTGTATTGTGAATTTTTCTTTTTTAAATTATTTTATATAAGAGGATAATATAAATAAGAGAATAATAAATTTTACTAAGAAATATTAATTATGGAATTAAGATCTGAAATGAAGATCCATAAAATTGTTGAAAAATAAATACCCTATAAATTTCAGTGGCATTACTTTTTACCATTTGTAAAACTTTTCAAATAGTAGGACACTTCTTAAAACAGTTGAAAATAATCTAAATGGTTAATATTGTTTAACGTTTAAAAATGTTTCTTTTATAACAATTTTACAAACTGTCTTTGTTAAATCTTAATTGAAAATTATACAATATGAAATTCAATTAATTTGCATAATATTAATTTTTTAGTTCATTAATTTTAAAAATATCAAAAATTGGAATGAAATTATTTTATATACATTAATTCTCAGAAAATAAGACAAATTTCATGAAAAAATAATAAATAATTTTTTGGATATTTGTAAATACATATCTGTTCACTTTAAGAAGAATCTTCTAGGAGGTCCTCTCTATTTTAACTGCATAAAATGTTTTCCAAGCCTTTGCTTGCTCATCATTAGATAACAAAAGTTCCATCAAAAAAATATAAAATTGATAAAGTTCTATTCCTCATCACAACAAAGCTTTTAGAACTCTTAACAAAAGCAATGCTTGAACAGATGTTCTTTTGTCTGAATGAGTTTTATAGTATCTGATGAGCTAGCAAAGGCTTGAAAAACATTTTACACAGTTATAATAAAGAAATAAATGACTAGAAATTTTTCTTAAAATGATTTAAAAGAGATGGAGTCAGAAATTAGTATAGATATATACAATTATGTAATGTTTGATTTAATGAGATGCTCTGTGATAAATTGCCAGCCACAGAGATCTAAATTTGAATCCAATCTAGACTAAATTTATCATAGACTGTGATCTAGACTATTTAATCTAGATTGTGATGACATTTTCCATCTCTTATTCATGCAGGATTATCCTACCATAAATAATCAAATCTGTTCATAGTAAGTGAAATTGTAGTAGCCATATACTTTAATAATTTGTCTATTTTAATAATTTACTAAAATGCANTTTTTAGTTCATTAATTTTAAAAATATCAAAAATTGGAATGAAATTATTTTATATACATTAATTCTCAGAAAATAAGACAAATTTCATGAAAAAATAATAAATAATTTTTTGGATATTTGTAAATACATATCTGTTCACTTTAAGAAGAATCTTCTAGGAGGTCCTCTCTATTTTAACTGCATAAAATGTTTTCCAAGCCTTTGCTTGCTCATCATTAGATAACAAAAGTTCCATCAAAAAAATATCATAAAATTGATAAAGTTCTATTCCTCATCACAACAAAGCTTTTAGAACTCTTAACAAAAGCAATGCTTGAACAGATGTTCTTTTGTCTGAATGAGTTTTATAGTATCTGATGAGCTAGCAAAGGCTTGAAAAACATTTTACACAGTTATAATAAAGAAATAAATGACTAGAAATTTTTCTTAAAATGATTTAAAAGAGATGGAGTCAGAAATTAGTATAGATATATACAATTATGTAATGTTTGATTTAATGAGATGCTCTGTGATAAATTGCCAGCCACAGAGATCTAAATTTGAATCCAATCTAGACTAAATTTATCATAGACTGTGATCTAGACTATTTAATCTAGATTGTGATGACATTTTCCATCTCTTATTCATGCAGGATTATCCTACCATAAATAATCAAATCTGTTCATAGTAAGTGAAATTGTAGTAGCCATATACTTTAATAATTTGTCTATTTTAATAATTTACTAAAATGCAATCATTACAGATCATATTTATAAATTATTACTAATATTTAAATCATTTAAAAATTAAATTTTAATTTATTATAAACAGAACAAAGTTATGAATATATAACATTAAACTTTCTTCTACAATCGAAAATACTAATTACTATTCAGTTTACCATCAGTCTGAAAATCAGTCTGATTTTGAACTGAGTTAGAAACTTGAAAGTTAAATTTTATAAACAAATAATAATGGTTAGATTATAAAGGAATGTTTAAATATTTATCATCATCAATAAGCATTATAATATAATTAATAGATAACTAAAATTATAGAACAAAAATCTAATCATTAAAAATAGACTATAGCAATCATGCATTTCTTTTATTTTTAATGAATTATTTTAAATATAAAAATCTTGATAAAATGATATATCTCATACTATTTCAAAGTATAACTTACCAATATTTCAACATGAATAGTCCAATCTCCAAGCACAGGTTTATCAGATAATAAGAGATTAAAGGAAAGAATTCCTAACAATATAAACAAATTACATAAATAAATAAAAAATGAAAAAAACAAATATAAATAAATAATTTCCCCAACCTTTAGAAGTAAATATCCTATTCCATTGTTTAATTCTGTTTTCATTTGCATCCTTTAAAAAAAAGAAAAAAGTATATATAAATACTTCTAATGTTTCTTTTCCATCTAAAATAACTCATTAAATTATTCATTATTTTGATGAATATTGTAATAATATATTCAAAAGTTGTACATTTGGACATATATCATTAAATATTGAAGCATAGCAGTAATCTTTATCAAGAAAATGATTATAGTGATTGATTTTTCTTTAAGTGAGTGAGAGAGGAAGAAAAAGTTATCCAAAGCCTTTCTCTCAGAAGTTGATTTACTTTTTACTGTTACTTGATTACAAGAGAAATCACTCAAAACATACAAGAAAAGAGATTTTTAAATATAAGAATTGTCATTTAAGATACACTTACTGTAATATATATATCAATTGCTCCAGTAACAGATGGTAACAAATATAAATTGACAACAATTATACGAAATTGAACTGGAAAAAATAATAAAAAAATAAAATAAACACATATGTTACACTTAAAATTTTATTCTAAGAAATTACAATTAATTTTTTTCTTAATATTAAAATATCTTATTTACTATTTCAAATTTATTTCTTTAGAACAGACTGATCTATCATTTTTTTCTTAGTTTTTAATAAAATAATTATTTCCTCCTTAAGCATCTTCATTTTCTAATGGAATTTGAAGCTTCCATGCACCAAACTAATAAAAGTTTGTAATTTATTCACAATTAAATAAAATTTAATTGTTAAAGTTTATAAACAAAATTTAATGGCTATAATAGGCCCATGCAGAGAATTTTTAAAAGAGTGGGATTTAAAAAAAAAAAACAAAACACTAGTTTTCTGTAACCTAATTTATTAATTTTTACAACATAGATATAGATATAATATAATATAATACAATACAATACAATACAAAATAAATATAAATTATATACAATAATTTATTTTGTTTAATTCTTTCCAAATGAGGAGTTTAACTTCTATATGCATGGCCTTAGCCTGTAAGAATCTTTGATTTAAAATTTTTAGGAAAAAAGTTAGCTAAATTGATTAAATTTGATATTTAATTTAGTGGATATATTTAAAGTAAAATTTAATTAAAATTTGATAATGTAAATATTAAACTGTTCTTATTATAAACAGATTTACAGTACTTACAATAAAAATTTCTCAAATTTAAAACAAACAGTTATTTTTAATAATTACAAGTATTTTATTAAACTGCCATCTTTAAAATAAGAGTAATTTAATACTTCTAATAAAAGCATCCAAATACCATTAATAAGGAATTACATAATCAAAAAGTAAGATTTATATCTTAATATAGGAGTGCATGCAACATATCAGGGAAATTCATAGGCTTTTAATTTAGAATTTTTTAAAACCTCATTTCTTGTCTTCAAGCTGAAATTCTTGATATCCTATTATCATCTACCAAGTATTTTTGTTCTTGTTAAAACACATTTATGCTTAATAGTGCACTAAACGAATCCTTTTAGTACCCACAAGGCACTAAGAGGATCTTTATTTTAGTGCCAAGAATAAAAAACAAACAACTAATCATGTCCATTGTGGGTTCAGTCAAGTTCACAATGTGTGCAGCCAGGTTTTCTAACAAAAACTTAGTTGAAATAAGTAAGTAAAAAAAGTATGATTGATTCAACAAATAAAAAAAATATTTTATTGAATTATCAATTATTAAACTAGTTTAATTACAATTATTTACCTATTTTCCAGAATAGCTACTGCCTACCTAATGCTGAATATCTGTCAAATTTTGTCACAGCGCTACCTCACAATGTCCCAATTTCTGGTTTTGAACTTGTGGCAACCCTATTCATGATGCATACAGTAGTTGACAGATTGATTTTTTTTTGTATTTGTTTTAGTGTGTATAAAATAGCTTTATCTAAGGATAAATTCAACCTGAATAATCTGAAAGATACAGAAATAGTTAGAAATATTGTTTTGTACAACATAGAATTGCACAAAGAAAACTTGGACTTCTAACTCTGCTTTTGATTCAAATACTTCTAAATAAAAAAAAGACATCTTGTTATACATGATTTAACAATCAGGAATACTTTCCTTGTGTTACATTTTATATCAATTGTTTAAAAATATCCTAGAGTAACAGAAATAAAATCCCCTGGAAATAAAACCTAAAATGCCAAAGATATTGACAGATACATTATGTGCACTCACATTACACTTCCTATTGTGTACACTGTTGGATTAATCTGCGATTCAAATTAAAAACAAACAAAAAATTCTTTAAAATTTACAAAAACAATTTTAATACATACCTAATTGTCCTGGTTTATAAATTGCTTTATCTGTTTGAATAAAAACAGAATAACTTTTGGGTTCATAAATTAATGTTGTTTGATTCTGAAATGTTAATCCACCATCACCAGAAACTGTCAAACTATAATTGCCAGAGCTCCATTCTCCAACCTAAAAGATAAGTTTAATATAAAATCTTTATACATTCAAATAAATTCTTTATAGTGTGTACTTGTTATAATATAAAATATATATTTTAAAGAATCAATTCACTACATTGAAAATGCTATGTGAATGATATGCACATACTTAAATACAATTAATATAATGCTTGCTAATTATTAACTTTAAAAATAAAAGTTTAAATAATTTAACAGATTTTATTGCACTTTACATGAATATTTTAATATTGTACTTAATCTTATTTAGGTACACTTTCTGCATATAAAATTTATGATGAAAAAGCATTTCTGTAATACTATCTTTAAAAATCATCTAATTTATTTTTTTCTATTAAGCTTTTAAATTTAATATATTACCATCAAAATGGAAATAATCTAGCTGATAATATGGATAATTATTTTAAATATTTTGATATTTTCAGCTAAGAGACACACAGACCAACTTTCTCATTCAAATTAAAAAAATTGACATTAATAATGTTATTTCAGTATCTAGATTGTAACGTTATCAAATAATTTCAAATTAGAATTATGCTAATTAATTTAATAATTAAAGATTTTAACTAGCTGTAGAAACATGCCATTTCTTAGTTATGTTAACAATTTAGAAACTAATGTAACAAAATGGCAATAATTCACTATGGTCATATGATCTAAAATTAGTATGTGTCTAGAGCAGGAACAGACAATCTTTTTAAGTGTGCGCGCCAAAATCTATGATGAAAAATTTTCTCATTTGCCAACTGAAATTCTTGGGAGCATATCATTACTTGAACTAGTAGCTAGACAATGCTACAGGAAAGCTAGATTTAGTGTAAAAGCCACTAAATTAGCAACCCTTCTTGTAAGAAAATGAAATAAGATGCTTATTTCATTTTCTTATTACTGAAACAGTTTATAGAGTTTGTGTCTTTATTGCATTTTTTTTAAAGTATTGCTCTATTCAATAAAATTGTATTCTATTAAATTAAATTAAAATATACAACTCAGCAAAGATGTTGAATATTTATTTAAGGTGAGGCCTGGTTTGCATGCTGGAAAGTCATTTGACATACATTTGACATATTTGGCACACATGCCAAGGGTTGCCTACTCCTGATCTACAGGAACTTTAACTTTACGTGTCTAGATATGTAACTGGCAATATGTTCTTTAATTTAGGTAAGATATGCAAGTTCATTTCTGCTCTAAATCAAAGTTCTTTCAAGAAAAATACACTTAAAATGATTCTTCTGTAATGGAATATTTTCAAATCACATGTGTTAACATATATACAGAACAGAAATCATATGTTTTGATATCTAAATCAAATTTCAAATTTATATATTATTGGGTTGTTTGAAAAGTAATTTTGTTTTTTACCACCAGAGGTATTAGTTGTATTTTTACCTGCCAATTTTATTCTAAATTGTATTGTCATTATATATTTTGACAGCTGGCAGTTCAAGGCTTATTTGTAAAAAATTTTGTTTAATTCTTTGCAATTGTTTTTTTTTTTGGTGTCCCATCAAATATAAAAAATCAAAAGCAGCACTTTCGGCACGTTTTGCTTTCTTATTACCGAAAAGGTAAGAATGCTGTTCAAGCAAGAAAAAACTGTGACGTGTATGGAAAGCTAGATATATGGGTTCCACATGTTCTTAAAGAAAGAGATTTGCTCTGTTGCATTGACATTTGTGATTTGCTTCTGAAACATCGAGAAAATGATCCATTTTTGAAGCAAATCATAACTGGCAACAAAAAATGGATTGTTTATAACACTGTTTAACTCAAGCAATCATGAAGTAGATGAGCATGCTCAAAGCACTTCGAAAGCCAATAGTCATAAAAAAAAAGTGATGTTCTCTGTTTGGTAGGATTTTAAGGGAATTGTTTTTTTGAGCTTCTATCAGACAACTCCAAATTGATTTGGAAGTGTACTGCCATTAACTGGTCAAATTGAGTGATACTATCAAATAGAAAAGTGTAGTGTTTCATCATGATAATGTCAGACCTCACACAAATTTGGTAACTCATCAGATGATGTTACAGCTTGGATAGGATGTACTACCACACTATATTCGCCAGATCTGGCACCCTCAAAATATTACTTGTTCCAGACATCACAAAATTTTTAAAATGGTAAAACATTTACTTCAAATGAGGATGTCAAAAATCACTTGGATCAGTTTTTTTGAAAGCAAAGATCAGTTTTTAAGAACGTGGAATCATGCTACTACGAGAAAGATGGCAAAAAGGTATTGGACCAAAATGGTCAATATATAATTTAATAAAATATTTATATATTATAAGAAAATTACTTTTTCTTTCCATGAGAAAAAACAAATCAAAATTTACTTTCCGAACAACCAATATATTAATCATTATAACGAATTAATGTAATCAGTAGATAAATATCTATAGTCCAAATATGTATATTAATTAGCTTAGCCAAGAGATTGTTAGAAAAATGTTTCATATGCTTAATAAATTACTACTAATGATGGCTATTGTAATTAACTAATTACAAATATGGATTCCTTTACACTTATCAAGTAAGATAATTATTCAAACTTTCAGATAACAGGTGTTTAACAAGTTTGGTCAAACTGATCTGATAGCATGCTCCACAAAAGCGAATCAAATATTAATTTTGCTTAAAATAAATTTTATAAATTCTTGGAATCAAGTAGTTATTCAGAAAAATTTTTTACTATAGCTTGCAGTGACCATAAACGAAAATGTTCAGTTCCCTTTTGTGCATGCATGTGGACTTGCACAATGACTGAATCAAATGGAACACAAAAGTCCTAACATAAGCACTTGACTACTATAGTGGAGCATGCTAAAAATAAGAAATTTTGCTATATAGAATTCTTCCTGATTATACAAAATTTAGAAAGAAACTAAAATTAAGAAATCAAAGCAAATCATGGAAATGCCTATTGGTGAAAAATGTTAACAATAGATGTTTGTCAATCAACTATATATGTCTATTTACTAATATGTGAAGTTTATCTAAAGAATTTTATCTGTTCACTTACAATATCTCTTAGTTACTAGTTGCTAATCAACAATCGGATAGTAGGAAAATGTTAAAGTTTAACATTTTTCTTGAAATAACAAAATATTTGAATAGGTAAACAAAAAACATTCTTAATTAAAAATAAAAAGCATTTTCCTTTGGTTTAACATCCACTAAGAAAATTTTTATAACAATTCCATTTTTATTTCGAATGAAACTTCAAAAATGTGGCATTATTATTCTACACATTCTGTAGATCAATAGTTAAAAAACATGTTCCAATGGAGCTTAAATTAAGATATTTTTAAATTATAGAATTAGACTGTGAATAAATTTTTACTTAGCAAACATTAAGAAATAAATATTTCTTTATAAATTTTAAGAACATATTCTGGTATTTTTTCCATTTTCATAAGGCATTTCTAAATTTAATTCCACATCTATTTTTGCTATTACATCTATGTATGCTTTTTCTTAGTAGTTTTTAACAATCATTTCTTTATTTTAAGTACTTATTAATATTTTATTGTAAATTTAGAATTTGTAAATGCATGTTAGTATAAAAATTTTATATAAATAATTATATTATTCTAATAAAATAACTTACTGGAATATAAAATAATCAAAACACCTTAGTAATTCCAGCAACGAAGTATTTAATAAAATAAAAACGTTTTCGACTATATTTAATAGTCTTCTTCAGTTAAGCCTCTTTAAAACGAAAACGAACATAAAATAGAGGCTTAATAGAGACTTAACTGAAGAAGACTATTAAATATAGTCGAAAACGTTTTTATTTTATTAAATACTTCGTTGCTGGAATTACTAAGGTGTTTTGATTATTTTAAGTTCCAGTAAGTTATTTTATTAGAATAATATAATTATTTATATAAAATTTTTATACTAACATGCATTTACAAATTCTAAATTTACAATAAAATATTAATAAGTACTTAAAATAAAGAAATGATTGTTAAAAACTACTAAGAAAAAGCATACATAGATGTAATAGCAAAAATAGATGTGGAATTAAATTTAGAAATGCCTTATGAAAATGGAAAAAATACCAGAATATGTTCTTAAAATTTATAAAGAAATATTTATTTCTTAATGTTTGCTAAGTAAAAATTTATTCACAGTCTAATTCTATAATTTAAAAATATCTTAATTTAAGCTCCATTGGAACATGTTTTTTAACTATTGATCTACAGAATGTGTAGAATAATAATGCCACATTTTTGAAGTTTCATNAATCCTACAATTTTTTGTTTATAACGTAGTTTATACGGATTATTTTCAAAAAAATATACGTATTTTGGAAATGTTGAGTCGAATTAGTCTAGAATCGATTAATTTTATGAAAGAAAACCTTTCAAACAGCCGTAGTCCGTAAACTATGATTCCTACAAAATTGATTCATAAAGAACGGAACGTATCTACCGTCTTATATGGGGATCTACTGTACTTCGTTGCTGGAATTACTAAGGTGTTTTGATTATATTATTCTAGATGTATGATAACTGCATCAGTGATTTATTTAATTCAATAAATTCAACATTAAAAAAACTTCACTTTTTGCAAATTCTAGAAGTTAATATCAAATACAATCTTAATAAAAAATTTTAAATATTTAAGGAAATATTTATAATCATCAAAAGCCTACGACTGAGTTAGCATTTTGGTTGAAATATTTTTCTTATACAAGGCTTTTATAAATGTATTAATACCACACACTTTTGTGTGTGTGTGTAGACATCCAAGAAAACTTGATATATTTTTTTTCAAATTTAAATAGGGTGTATCCTTTCATTAAAAATTCTCCTGAAAGAGTTGGATCATCTCCAACAATTAAAAATTAATTATTAAAAATGGCCTAATGTTTTCAGTGTTTCAACAAAATCATCTAAATTGCTCTCAATAATTAGTATTTAATTCAATAATACTTTAATTAAACACTTATAATCTGATAAAATTTAAAACTAGATTAATCAAAAGA